CTGTATAAAGTTAAACTTAGGAATAAACTGAATATAAGCAAATATTAGTACAAAATTTGCTTATACTCAGTCTATTCCTAAGTTGAACCTTTTACCGTGTTTATTTGTAAGGTTGAAAGAGTTTTGTCTCAATTTAAAAAAAAAAAATCCAGGCTTGAAATTTGTGGTAATAAGTAAACATCACAGGGCTCGCCAATATCGCGTGACGTCATACTGTATACCTTTTTTAGACGTCCCCACCCTTTGTAATCTTTTTCATAGCGTAATATTCTGTTCTCTCTTCCCGGTGCGAATTCATTTATTATTAAACTAGGAAAGGTGGAAATGAGGCGTGCGTTCCCCCGTGACGTCCGTATTTAAATTAACTAACGGTGTTATAAATTATTCCCGTGTATGGAATTAAGACACGACTATGTTACACGCGATTTACGGTTTTTGACGTCAACTAATTTAATAACGTTTTCGTTATGCACAAAAATTCTTCTATAATTAATTATTTGGTGGTTATAACTGGAGTTAGTAATATGAGAAGGGATGAATGACATGTAACAAGAAGGACGTTAGTTATGAATGTGGAAGGGTACACCGGTAGAGGTAGACCTAAAAAGAGATAGATGTATTGCGTGAAAGGAGACATGATCAAGAAGGGAGTGATGAAGGAGATGACGATAATAGAGTTATTTGGAAGACGAAAACACGGTGCGCTGACCCAACGGGAGTAGGATATAAGGTAAGGGAGGTGACGACGAGTAATACTAAATTACTAGAATCATAGATCTAACAGAAAAAAAAAATTAATAAATGTGGTAGAGCTGATATAGTAAATTTTCAATATTAATTTCATACAAATATAATAGTTTATTTGATGAGCCAGAGAGGAAGTCAAAACGCTTGTTATGTTTTATTTTAAAGGAGAAAGTACTGAATTAGTCATCAGTCTTTGTCGTATGTTTGCTTTTTAATTGTTATCTATTTCCGTAAAGAAAATATCTACAATTAAATACATTGCTGTCTGTCGACCGATTAGGGAAGTGTCATACTATCTCGATTTTCCTGCTGTTCATTGAATTAATATCACATTACCTGTACAATGAACGTAGTAACTAAAACGTCGGTTTCCACAGTCGATACATTTTTATTAAAATATATTGTATGTCTTTTACTCAAAGGGAATGAAAAGGATCGTAATATTTTGACAAGTGATGAAATTAGCAGTGGAAACGCACCGCAGCAATAAAATAACCGCAAATGCAGCGTAAATAATTCTTGACGTATGCATTCAATATTTAATTTTAAAATCGACAAAGGAAAACCAACAAATCCACAACTTCTATTTTTTTTTCAATAGGAAAATTATTACGATATTTTAGTACAACTGTAAATTAAATTTTGTCATTTTTGTATGTATAATATTTAGAACGTATAGCTTTTGATCAAGAATAAGTCCTTTCTGTTATCAAATATAGTCACGAATATAAAATATCAACAAAGTTGCCATTGAAACTAAATGTACAAGTTTCGTACACATTGTCTACTTGTTTTTTTTGTACATTCAAAGCAGTAAGTTGATCTCTACGTTACGGGACGTTGCCCGCATGTTCGCCAACAAAAGATTGTTAAGACCAATGCAGCTTAGTCTGAACTGGTTCAGAATAAGGAAGTGACGCCGTTAACTATGCTCTTACAAATTTCCGAGGATTCAGTCATTCGAACACCAAAATGGCTTGTATGGTTTTTTATTTAAGAGTTTAAATTACAAAAATGGACAATGCAGGTAGATGTAGGGTTACCATGACATATAGAAAATGGACAATTTGTCTTAATGAACAAAGAAAACTTATCAATTTTTATTTCCATAATATAAGTATTTAAAAATGTTAAAGACATAGCCTATGTTAGCTATGTTACTCACACATAAATTACATTAAAAATTATGAAAGAATTTTTGAAATCATCCCAGTAGTTTTTGAGTTATTTCAATACATACAAAAACACAATTTTTTTCTCTTTGTAATATTAGTATGGATAGTTTACTATACGATTATTTTGTAAAAAAATGTAACTGTGGCTTTTTAACGTTACATGTGCTTTGAAATTATTTTGAAACATTGTCCACATAAAAGATGGTTACCATGGTCGGAGAGTGCGGTTCAGACGCGCCACCGATCACGTATTCATAAAAGAACCGACTTGAATAGCGAAAGGGAAGAGCCAGCTCTAACCGCCTTTATTGTTACAAATCCAAAAAAATATATTTTTAAATCAAGAGTTTAGGCACAAAGGTATTTTAAATTTTTTCGTCTGAACCCTTTCTGCAATCTTTTCGGTTATAATAAATTCAGGTATAATAATAATTATGGGATATTTTACATGTTTTCGATAACTAAAATTACCAACAGTATTTCGTTTATGTTCTCTTTAGCAGTTTTATGCTATAGTGTTTGGATCTCTGCGGTCGGGTATCGCTTTCAGAAGGTTCATTGTGCGGCTACGGCCAGCTGATACCGTATACTGTTACGCAGGATTATTGTTCTTGTGTTACTTTACGCTTTTCTATTTCTTTACCGACAACATCGAGATAATTCTATATATATTGTTTGTGATGGGCTGACGCTACAATGTGTATTTTAAAAAGTTAATAAGTGCTTTTGGTGGACCTATCCTATTTTACACTATTTCTCAATTCTCTTATTTAAACTTATTTCCTCGGTGAGAAGTGATCTCAGTTTGGTAATTTTGAAAGTAATTGGTTTTATTCCCGAAGGAAATTAGCAATAATAAATGAATTATTAAAGAAATCGATCTTAACTGTGGTCTTCAACTGCTGACAAATGTGTTGTTAGCTTTTTTTTCAAAGAAAATGTATTATAAAGGATAATAAAACGTATTTCAAATTCAAAAGTCATTAGTCGGAACCGACAGTAACGTCGATATTATGATTTGTTTGTATTTGCCCTTTGAACAGCTTTATTACAATGTGGTTATCTAGTTGCACGTATAGCTTCCTACAAATCATTTGTCCATCATTGTCGGAGACTTGTTTACTTTGAACTTGTATATGCTCCGGTAATCCCGATGAAGTCACGACAGAAACATGCCGCTTGTTGGATTTATATAGAAAAACTAACAATATACAACATGGTACATTCCGAACACTATAAAAACATTTAAAATGAGTTTTTAACTCCATGTTATCTGTCGTATGTATTATTAGTAAGTTCGATTATTTGATAATTGAACTAAATTAAATAAATAGCAATATAGAAATAACATTAGGTAACTAACTAAATCAGATCTTTCTAGAAAGTTGCGACCACGATAAATTTTCTTAATTCCGAAATTAGTAACTTATTTCAAGGAAGAATAAAGTAATTTAAATTGTTACGATTGTTTTAAGTTTCGTAAGTTGAGTTTACGCAATTTAAGGATTACTTTCTTGACGTCAAGCCTTTCAAAGGCTTCGCAATCAAGCGGTACTAATTTAAGCATTGCTATTATACAGCAAGCTTTTGAAAGTTAATTTAGTGTGCTTTTCACTGACGTAAATCCCTAATAATGGGTACTTGCCAGTAGTTTATACAAAGTGGGGGACAAGGTAGATTTAGTATGTGAAAAGGTGTTTTAACTTAAATTGTAAATATCGAGTATTATCAGTGTTTGACAAGGTTGTTAATGAATTTAGTAACTATTAGTAACGCTAGCGCGGTGGCGATAAGAATGGCCTTCAAGGGTTCTGCGTCGGCGCTTGCGAGGTGAAGCGCATTCACGGACGCGGTTTGCAAATGGAGTAATTACAATTACCGAAAGACCTTGTTTCAGTAGATTAGAGAGAGTGGTATAGTAATAATTTCAGCAGGAAGAAAGAGAGGGATGATGTCAGTGTCCCTGGCTACAAATAGTAGAGTTTTTTTTGTCAATACAAGTATGAGATGACTGCAATCACCACGAAATTTCTATTTATCTTCAAATTGTAAATGAGGTAATTTTAAAGTCTCGAATTATTCCTTACATTCAGGCTTTGGAGATACTTTTTTAAAACCCCGTCGGGGTCTGCACTTGTTGGTACGTTTTGCAAAAGCGTTTAAAAAAAAACTGTTTTAATGGACGTCTCTTCAGCTTTGTGCTTGTGCTTTTGAATTTTATTCTTCAGGTTTACTTGCTTTTTCTCTATTATATGTAGCGAGCAATGATTATCTAAAGTTTATTAGTGAAATTTTACATAGAATGTGTATGTATTATAAGACACTTCTATATAATTAAAAATTATTGCAAATAATTTAAATTAAATGAGTAGAGGATGGTGTAATTAGCCTTGGTCTTTCCTTGCTGGCAATCAGAGCGACGCGTGCGCAGTGCGGAACCGATGACGTCACATGCCTTCACACCCACCGACAACTGACGAGACGTTACATTCGACATTAGACCAATCCATTACGCAACGAGATTGAATATCTGTTAATAAATGTCGTTGTGACAGTAACGGTTTCTTGAACTTCTGTAAATATTTTCTTATCGAGTGTTTACTATAGTAGGTACAAGTTAATTGTCAGTCACTCGAATGAACGAACGATAAGGAATTAAAAACAAAAGCTTCCTATCGTCGCTGTCTACATATCATTAATGTACGATAAGGCAGGCCGACAGACGGCTGTCTGTTATCATAACAAGATAGATCCTGCAGATTGGCATGACTAACATAACATGCTTTAGGATATCAGGAAAACAGCTACTAATTATACTTCATACTAATATTAATGCGAATGTTGAGACGGATGAAAGGATGGCTGTTAGAGTTTGTAACCTTATTTTTATTAATTTAACGCGGATGGAGTCGCAGGTGATAGCTTGTATAATATGAACAAATGAATGTCTAATTTAATGGATATTAATAAAAGCGTTAACGTTTTTTGAGTTAATTTAAAGGATTATTAACTTCGTTAATGTCTACCTTTGCTTGCTTTAAACTGTTTAGATCTGATGTTTGTCTTTCTTGTTTCCAGATCGGCAGATCATCGGAGTCCCCAATCGACTTTGTGGTGATGGATACGGTGGCGGGCGACAAGAGTGGCGACACCAAGGTGCTGCAGAGCACCATATCGCGCTTCGCTTGCCGCATCCTCGCTGATCGAAACGACGTCAACAATTGCCGTATCTACGCAGCCGGATTCGACTCATCCAGGAATATATTTCTTGGCGTAAGTTGTACCGATTTTTAGAGTTTTAGGTACGATCAAGTCATTACAGTTTTTAGGCACTGAGTTGACTTTGCCAAGTCGGTAGTAACGAACGTGTTAGAACGAGCGCACACCTGTGACTACACCATCGCACAACTGTTGTGCGACTTTCGTTTGTTTCGCGGCCAATTCGACTGTTTTATTCACAACTAAAAATCGTGTAGTGCGCACGGAGGTTCTCTTATGAGTTTATATGGAGATATAAGAATCATACGAGACTAAACAGCTGTGCGATAGTGTAATCAAAAGGGAGCGCACGCTCTTAGGATTCCCATACAGAGAAGATTGATTTTGACGTACGTTACTTTTCAGTACTTTTCACAAAGAAACTCCTAGCTCGTTGTTTACTTAAAACTGATAAAATTTAGGATGCTATTTGATGTTGGACCGATACGTCACAGTCAAACAGGAAAATTAATGTTGACTATTGTTTTAAATTATTTTATTAAGTGTTAACACTGCAGATAACATAGATTACCATAAGATATACTGTTAATGACTATTGCTGTTATAATCCGTGCAATTAATGATGTCGAATGCCTTTTAATTACAGGAAAAAGCGACAAAATGGACGGAGAATCATGAGATAGATGGTCTGACGACGAACGGGGTGTTGATAATGCATCCACGCGGTGATTTTTGCGGCGGCAGTGCTACCTGCGGCCCATGGCGTGAGACCTCAGTTGGCGGCGCCGTCTTCTCGCTCAGGGAGAGCCGCTCCGCACAGCAAAAGGTACACATGGGTTATGTCTACCACGTCTCACTGTGAACACTCATTTTGCAATTACTAGGAACGATATGAACTCATCTTAACATCTCATTTCTTACTAAAAGTTTTTTTTTATTTAATACTTTTGCACAAATATTACAACAGGAAGCTATTAAGTAATTACTAGATTTGAGCAAATCTGGCCTTAGTGCTCAGAGCGATCTCTTCCAGGCAACCCTGTGGGACATTAATCAATATAGAAATGTAAATGTGAATATTTAGATGGATGGATGGTCTGTTAGAGTTTGTAGACTAAACTGTTGAACGGATCTCGATGTTTTGTGCAATTGTTCAAGATAGTCTGTACACATAGGATAATATTAAGAAGAAAATTATTACTTCGCTGGAGGATTGGCGCAACACTACCTTCTCGGTATAGACGTTCCTATCTGACAGCTGTCAATGTCATTAGACGTACTGGTATAGCGCGATATTCTGGCGGAAGCCAGTTGTTGAGTGTTTGAGTTAATTACGCTAGTTACTATTATATTATTTAAAACTACTTATTTTTGTTTTTTTAATTCCACGCGAAAGGAGTCAGAGAGATAGATACAGCTAATCTTACTAATATTATAAATATGAAAGTTTAGATGGATGGATGTTTGTTTGTTAGAGTTTGTAGCCTAAACTGCTGAACGGATTTCGATGAAATTTGGCATAGATGTAGAGGATAATCTAGAAGGATAAATAGGCTAGGAAAATAAATAGGCAGTTTTGTTTTTTTTTTTTTAAATCTCACGCAAACGGAATCGTGGGCGACAGCTAATTTAATAATAATGCAATGTTTTAGCACACATTTCTGTATTGCAGGGAGTACCGTGTCAAGCGGAGACAAATGTACTAAGAGATGGCACCATGATAGACTTGTGCGGCGCCACGCTGCTATGGAGGAGCGCGGAAGGTCTCAAAAATTCACCTGTAAGTTGTATTTGTTGAGTTGTTTTACCATTCAAATGAAGCTTCATAATTACATAATGTTTTATACAAAAAATTCTTAATGCTATCAAATTATTTTGTCTAATGAACCAATGTTATACTAAATAAAATCTATCGCTTTTCCGGAGGAGGTAAAGATGAGAATCACTCATATAGTATTAGTATTTTTATTATAATAAAGAAAGATTTGTTTTTTTTTGTTTGCATTGAAACAACTCGATAACTTCCGGAACGGTTTAAAAATAGCTTTCACCATTTTTTTAATATCCTTGAGTTGGGAAACGAACAAGCGGCCACCTGAATCCAACAAAATGGCGAAGCGACCGCTGCCCATAGACATTTGCAATAGCGGATGCGTTGCCTACCCTTAATCGACGGAGGAGGAGACGCACATAAAGAGGATATTTCCCCTTCCTATGCGTGTCCTTCACCGTTAAATCCACGTACCCTTCCCATATTAAAAATGGTGGGAAGGAAAAGGGACCAAAGTAAGGCCTCCATTAAAATAATTTCATAAAGTACATGATAAATGATATAATCCAGACGAAGCGCACGCTGGAGGCGCTGGTGGACGAGCTGAACGCGGGCCGGCCGCAGTGCCCCGTCGGCCTCAACACGCTCGTCATCCCGCGCAAGCTGTCCGCCGCGCACCAGGACCTCAACCAGCCCTACGTCTATCTGCACTGCGGACACGTGCAAGGTAACACCTCACGACACGACTCTGACTCTGCTCACACCTCACCTCACCACACGTCACGACATTATCTCACGTCATCTCACGACACGTCACAGTCAGAGGGCGTTGTGACCTTTACCAAAACCTTTGACAGTACTATCGGATGTTTTTGCCATTTACTCTGGAGCGAAATTAAATTGAATTGAGATACAACCGATAATTATTTTTATTAATATCCATGTTTTATTTTGTAATATCATAAAGAGGAAAGATTTGAATTCTTAGATTTTTGTACGTATTTGATTCACTTAAAAACCACTGAGCCGATTTTTATGTCATATATTATCACTTAAAAGCATTTATTTTGTTCATTGTTAAGTTTGTGTGTAAGTTTCGTTGTGACAGCTTGCGATCTTGGCGTTGATTCGATTCGTATACTACATAGTACTATCACCAATTGGACTTTGTGTTTTTTGTTGTTTATTGTATAATACTAGCTTTCGTCCGTAATTCCGTCCGCGTGGTATTGAAAAAAATTAATAGCCTATGTGTTCTTCTAGACTATCCGCTATCCTCTCTACATTTATGTCAATTTTCTTTGATATCTGTTCAGCCGTTTAGGCTACAAACTCTTACAAAGAAACATCCGTCCATCCTTATGATTGTTGTGTGGTGCAGGCGAGCACTCGTGGGGCGCGGAGGGCAGCGAGGCGGGCGTGCGGCGCTGCCCGATGTGCCTGACGGCGGGCCCCGTGGTGCGCGTCTGCATGGGCATCGAGCCCGCCTTCTACGTCGACTCCGGCCCGCCCACATACGCCTTCAACCCCTGCGGACACATGGCCTCCGAGAGGACCGTCAAGTATGCACCTTTACATCCTCTTGTGATGTGATCTTTTACAGAATCTGTGCATATTTTCTTGTTTACATAAACCTATTTTTTTACCTTACAGCTTTCCCTTACGACTCTATGCCCAAAAATGACTTACTGTACGATATACTAAAATATTGTTATCAATATTATATTAGTGTAATTTATACTTTTTATGCTGATATTATTAATAGAGAAAATTTGTATTTTTGTATGTACTCGATTCACGTTAAAACTACTAGGCCGATTATAGAATCTCTAACCATTATAAGTATTTTTTTAAAATGTAATGAGTATTTTATAGGCTATATATTTTTAATTTCAGCTAGTTTATACTAATATTATTAAGTGGAAAGATTTTTATTTTTGTATGTATTGAAATAACTCAAAAACTACTTGGACGATTTCAAATGTTTCACCATTAAAATGCTTTGTTATCAGTAACATAGGATATATGGTATATCTTTTCCACGCGGATAGTCGTGTGCAACAGCTAGTGATGAAAGTACTGGTGTGCAGGTACTGGGCGAGTGTGGACATCCCGCACGGCACTAACGGCTTCCACGCGATCTGTCCCTTCTGCGCCGCGCCGCTGCAGGGCTCGCCCGGCTACGTGCGCCTCATCTTCCAGGACAACCTCGACTGAATCTCACCTCACAACACACGTAAGCATCTTACCTCTCCCTCTACGTTTGTCTATCTCTCTCACACTTGCGAGAAAACAAAGAGTTTCAAAAATATAGAGGAGGCATGGCACTTCACTTGATTTTTACGTGATCAGACTAACATTAGACTCAAAACAATGTCAATATGTTATTTCTTTTTAAATTAATTGCTAATAGATGCCACTAAATTTAAATGTCTATATTTTGTTTTGTATCTCCAACTGGTATTCTTTTCAAAGAAAGTACCGGTGAAAAAATTTTATGCAATGCCTCGTCTATATATTTTTAAATATCTGCGAGAAACCAAACTTGTTTTAATAAAGACTGACATCTACTTATAACTTACGTTAATTAACATCAGAGACATATAATTTAATCGTTTATTATGTATTAACAAATTAAAGACCATCGATAATTTAGAAAGTTCTATTTTTTAATACATATTTTTTTTTAATTTTCAGATCCGCGTATAGAATTATACGTAGGAAAGTGCATCGATAACGAAAGAACAAAGAGACATCACTAATGCCTCAACTCGGCTATACTTATTGCTTCAAGAGTGGGAACAACGTGAGTGCATTGACAAAAAAGTTTTTACTAAAGTTTGATTGTCAAAGCACTCCTAGATAATCATGTCATCTCTTTCATTTACTTTGAAAAACAGAGACAAAACATGCAACAAATATCAGCGAATTGTTTGTTTACTGGGAATTTAGGACTTCGTTATAGTACAGCTAGCTAGAGCATTCGGTTTGGCACTTCGTTAACAAGAGTACTCTTCTGTGTGACGTGCCAACTCAAGTGCGTGTACTGTTTTTCAATTTTATTTTAATAACAGAATAATACAACTTAGAATGTAATGCTGAAATAGCTATTCATTCTTTCAAATTTAATGTTAAAAATTCCCAGTATTAATAACTATAAAATGTTAATTTTTATTCATGTATTCGCTGAAATTGGAAAAAAACCTAAACTAGAAATTGACAATTTGACACATTCAGTGCAACAAACTTTTTCACAATACAAAATGTAGCATTGAACGTGTTAAAACAATAATCGACTTACCGATTACTAAATCAGTTAAAAAACATACCAAATTGAGAATCGTGTATATTTGTGTTATCGATGTAAAAACGTACAACACTATTCTTTACGAGCAACTTTGGTTAACTACAACGTTTCTTTGATCCAAAATTAGTAATGTTGATAATTTAGTTAACAATTATCGATGCTACTTAGACTATCGTAAGCCACTATTATTCGATTTACACCTTCTATTGATTTTTTAAACTTAACTTGATCGATAATTTTTGTATACATTTAAAAGTAACATTGTAAAGAATTTGGCGATCTATTATTTATCTTTGATGCATCGTATTTAATTGTATAAATATTTTGTCTTGAGAATTATGCGATTCTCTAATTTACCTAGAAGCCATCAAAATGCGCTCTAACAATTAAATTCCCACATAGAGTCGAATATCGTCTAACAAAGTTTTATTTTCTGGCGTTCTTAGAATAAACTATTGAAATTTATTTATTCTGGTTGAAATGTATAACGAAGACAAACTGTTTCAATCTTTTTTTTAATATATTTTTATATAAAGTTAAAATATTATGATTATAAAATGTTACAAAGCGCTAGTGTTGTGCAAACTATCGACAGAAATTATCGACGGAAAATAAATGATTTTATGAGATGCAAATATTTATAATATTGATACTTTCACTAATGTTAGTGTCTAAATATGAAGAGATTTAAGATGAAGTGTTTTCCGATGACGATCTATTTATTTGTTAATGACATGTAAAATAAAAATATCGGATGGATTTTAACATATAAGTGAACAATAATCAATGCTTTGTATATTGCGATACTTTTTAATGTTTCGTTGACGAGTGAATGATTTAAAAAATACAAATTTATAGATATGGTTTTCGATAGGGAAAACAGTAGATACATAAACTTTGTAAACTTGGGCTGGTAAATCTGATTTTTCAATAATATTTTGATTTGAAATTGAATTAAAATAAACAGGAACTGAGTTTAGGTGAACAATATCCAGAAACCCTCTAAATTACAATAAATTCAATATTAAAAACAACAAAACAGAAATATAACATCAGTGTGCTTGAGAATATAAAATGTGGTAAATATATTTAACGTATGAATGCTTTTTTCGTTTACGTGATATTTTCGTTGTGATATGCAGCTTTTTCGGGAAAATGGATATCGTGAATGTAAGGGCATGTTTCCAACTAAGTTTGTCAGCCCATATAGCGTGCGTTCGCACTGAAACCATCTATAAAAACATTGTTGATTTTCATAATCCTTGACACAGATAATGTTTTTTGTAATGTTTCGGCAGTGGAAACTCACGGTTAAGATCCGTTCACACAAACCGGAGCATAGAAATATAACGCAAATAAAATTGCGCTTCATACGACTGAAATAAGGTTTAATTTTAGTTTACACGTCTTTATTACGCTTGCTTTTGATAATAAAAAATGACGTATAAACGTGCAAAATACAATTCAAACCATTTCTCAATTTTATTTGCGATAAAAATGCCCTGCTCTCAGTCTTATGTGAACGAACCCTTAGTCTATTTAACGACTAAGTTGAAGTTGATTTCTATATGTTGAATTAAGTTAATATGTTTAATTAAGGTGTTTATTCCTAAGAATACAAAAGATTTTAATTATACCGATTGTAATGTACACATATTTACCTTGTGTATATATTTTCGAGTGTGTAAGCGTATATTATAAAATTCAAGCTGTCAGCTCTCTGCAACCGCACCCGAACGACAGTCGCGTTCATTTAAGTATCGAGAATGTGTGGAAAATGTAAATAGTGTTCATTTCCAGTTCTTGTTAGTTAATTTATGATTGTTTGCGTGGCTTATATAGCCTTAGCTGTAGCACAAGCCAACTAGAATATGTGTTTCAATATTGTTGGCTTAATAAATATATTGCGATTTTTTTTGTGTATCTGTTTATTCATATATTTATGAACTGAAAAACACTGGCAGTATATAAATGCCTTGTTTAAAAAAGATATATTCAAATTTCGAACGCGGGAAAATGCCCGCTATGATTGGTCAAAGATTATGGCGGTTAGAAATGACTATGGCGACAAAATAATTTACTGGCGGGAAATATAAATGAAAGATGTAATTACATAGATAGAACATTTTATACATTATATAGTTCTATAAAATCAAGATACTTATAATAATGTATGACGTCTAATTAAAAGGATTCTTTTAAAACGATAAGGCGCCCAGAAAATCATTTTTTTGACAAATCTGAAGCAGTTTTAATGCTTTTTCATATCTAATCTTTGACGAATAATTTGATCATACAAATTAGAAATAAAATAGACAATAAAATTATAATAATATACCGGGTCTTTAATAATAAAAAAAGAATATGGTCTAGTAAATGTAGTCTTATTAAAGATGACTGTAATGTTCTGTTTATGTATTTATTTCTTTGATTTAAAAACATAAATGTTTTACTTTTTAAGCGACAAGTTATTTGACTTTGTGGACATGACACTAAATTGCATAGCTCACTAGCGCCATCAGAGTGTCAAGATCAAGACAAGAAAAACTTTTCTAATAGAACAGATATTTTTGTCGGACTATACCAATAATAAACGCACCTCGTACGAGGAATTGTATAAATAATGTATGATAGAGGTAGTGTTAGCTTATGATTGGTAATGAAAGAATAGTTTTTGTACAATTCGATACCACTAGTTAGTGAGACACGGAAGAGTTTTCTATACGTCATCCTTATTGTATCTGTTATCCTAGTGAGGTTTATAAATTATTTTACGAATTTTTGTGATACAATAATTAAATAAGCTTAAAATATTCTAGTTGAAAAGCTTTTAAATCGACATTTGAGCTGACATTTTCCGTAGCTGTTTAGTGAGACAGTAATTTTGCGTTTTTAGTTATCGCTTCAATATCAGTTTTGCGATGAATTGCATTGAATAATGTGTTTTTATATATTTAGCATTATTTTGGATTAAGTGTAAATGAAATCTAATGTATGGATGTTGACATACTTTCATACAATGGGTTTTGTTTACTATCGTGATGTGTGAAAAGGAACGGCGTAGTCGTGGATATGACGGCTGCAATACTAAAGATGCGAAATCACGCGTGTAATATGTTCTAACATTAGTCTAAATAAGAACTGATTGCTAGCCTTAATTTTATTTATAATAATTGCTAGGTTTAATAAAACAGCTCTTTTGAGTTAGACATTTAATATGTTGTTTTATTTTATAACATATACACCTAAGTTGCTTAATTTGAATACATTTTCAAAGAACTTACAATAAAAAAATCTTATAACTCATTATTAATATATAAAAACATCCATTTATGACATAAAACAAATTAAGTCGTACTCGGAATCGTTAAGTGAGTATATTTAGTACTAGTTAGCTGTGTTACTCTGGACAGCTAACTTGCAGGAAAAGTCCCATCAAAATACTATAATTATTTGGAACAAACATGGACTTGAGAACAAAAAATAAAAACACATTTTGTTATAAGTAAAATAAATATATCATGTGTAGGAAAATGAAAATTCAATCTAGATTAAATTTTTTGATAGGCGTTTGGGAAGACAAGTCCATCATTGGGCAGAAAAATGGTAATGACTAGAAACGTAGTAAACTTCCAATAGCTGTAGTTAAATGAGCTGAGTTCACTGCAAATTGAGTTTAGTGGTGACAATGACCCGCACTTGCTGGTCGTAGGAGGTGGTGATCGCAAGTCCGGTGTGGTCGCGGTTCCATTGCCAGGCGTTGATGGGCTGCGGACTGAGCAGCGCGCGCTGCAGCCGGCGCAGGCTGCCCGGCACGCCGTACGCCGCACCCGACCCGTCCACGCGGCAGCGCTGCTCCGGGTACTCACTGGGAACGGTTATTTTGGCCTTAAGCTTGTAAGATACCGATGATCGGTGGCTTGCAAACTTTTGAAACACTTATGGCTTGCAAAGCTTTTAAAACACCTATGGCTTGCAAGCTTCTAAAACACCTATGGCTTGCAAGCTTCTTAAACACCTATGGCTTAGCGAAGTTTGAAGATACCCTTGGCTTCCAAGCTTTTAAGCCACCTATGGCTTGCAAGCTTCTGATAACTGTAGATGGCAAGCTTCTAAGACAACTATGGCTTGCAAACTACTTAAACACCTATGGCTTGCAAGCTTCTAAAACACCTATGGCTTGCAAACTTTTAAGACAATTGTGACTTGCAAGGTCTAAGACTTTGTTTTGTTGTTTTACATACTTCTAAATATAACTCTATATAACTGTACTTACTATTTCCAAAGACTAACTAAACCATTCCCAGCACAGGATATAAATATATCTCTATTCTGGGGCAGATGCCGCGCCGCCCATATTGTGCCGCTTTGACTGCAGTGGTCTAACACCTAAAAATTATATTAGACTCATTAAGTGGGTACTATGAGTGCCCATTATTGTAGACTTTTCATACTTATCCTATGTAAATGGTAAATGGTTAGTATGTATGTAAATGGAAAGTGTGTAAGTACACAAGCCATGCCGAGGCATAGCAAATATTTATTCAATTATTCTTTCTTGTTTAAATATATATCTATCTCTTTCTAACGTGATACAAATACTTACTTGGGCAAATCCTTTAGTGGGATTTTGTGTTCTGAGATCAAATACATGCAACTTTCCCTCCAATGTTGTCGCAACCATTTTGTTCATTGGTATATCTTGACGATCAAATTCTACGCAGCACACCTAAAATGACATAACAAAGTAATACTAATAACTTGACATTTATTATATACTGGTTTTCGCCTGCGACTCCGGCCGCGTGGAATTAAAAAAGAAAAGAGAGTAGCCTATTTGTTCTTCTAGACTATCATCTACATCTACACAAAATTTCATCGAAATCCATTCAGCCATTTAGGCTCCAAATTCTAACATCCTTCTATCTAAAATTTTAATATTAGTATGATGTATGATAAACATGAAATGAACTTGTTTTAACTATTTCTTTTGCACTATTAACTTAATAAATTAATATATGCAATTGGAATCTTTACCCCATTCTTTAGATTGCACTCCCATCTCAAAGACATAGTTCTGAGGTCAAACATCTTGAGGTCGCCATTGTCGTATCCAGCCATCACAATGCGCTCGGCGTCGTTAAACGAATTACCAAAGCAGACACACCAGCAGTCACGCCGCGTCTCGCCGCTAGCCGCCTGCATGTTAGCCACTGGCTTACCACGCTGCCGTGGGTCCCACACCTTGACTGTACCTAGAAGTTACATTGGACTGGAATGGTTCACACCATAGATCGGTAGGGGTAGGCCCCCAGAGTTGAAAAATGTAAAATATATATGAAATGGAAGATTCAGGGAAATTGAAGTGAAGGACAAAGGATATCCTGACTTAAACACCTGTTTAGTTTAAAATTAGCACCCATTAGTTAATGGCACTTTGTCCTCTTGAAACTGCAGTTCTGCATAGCAATACACAACCACAATATTGAGATTGCCGATAGCTTATACTTTAAGAGGAATATGTAAAAACTACTTCTTTTAAGACTATATTAAAGAAAACAATCTATAGTATATGTTATTCCAAATAAAGTGTCATTATGGAATATTTTAAATAAGTCAACCAACCTCCAGTGGGCCAGCATGGTTGACTAAGGACTAGTCACACCAACTTAAAGTAAGACCCTCAGTGGGGATTATAAAGAGCTGGTGATTATGGTAAATTTTATTCAGGATCTTTTGGTCATTTTTGGTTATAAATCATTTTTGATTGGTCATTGTTATGTAATTATTTTCTTTAAAAAGTTAATTAATAGTTACCATCTCTACTTCCAGTCACAATCTCAGGAGCGCCACAATTTACAGTACTGCCTCCCATTCCATCTATTGAATTTATTATGTCTGTATGTTCCTTTGTTATATAAACTTGACTGCTCTTTTCTAAATCCCTAAAACATTGAAACAATTATAAATATAGTCCTAATGCTGTAATAACACAAAGGAAATGTAAATAGTAAATCAATTGTGTCCTATTTACAGAAGATTTTAAGTTTTTACATGGACATAATATCACAGTCATATCTATTTACTAAAAGTAAATAGTAACAAACCATATTTCCAAAGTTCCTTTGAAATCACCGGTAGCCAATCTTCGCTCAACATCACTGCTGGCGCCAAAGGTTCCACATTTAAATGAATTTTGCCGCTCTATTACCTTTATTTTTTCAATTTTCCCTGAGGATATCTCAAATACCTCAATAGTTCCGCTACCTTTAGGAAGTGATCCGATAACCACAAATTTTGCAGAACACGGTACCCATTTACAATCGAATAAAGAATGATCTAATTTGTGTTGGATGTGTGCAATAATATGCGGCGTATCTTTGTCTTCCATTGCAAAAGTCGAACTATATGCAACAGCATCAATTGAGTTATCCAATTTGTTTCTTTTAACTGTTATTGACAAAACATGTTGAGTTGCCATGGCGACAAATGACAAAGATGACGTTTAAAAATAGAAATTGGTATTGATTTTTTAGAATCGATAGATGGTAAGTTTTTAACTTTATAAGATTGTGAAAACGTTTTAATGACAACGTAGGTATTTATCGTTTATGATTGTTTTATGCTAAAATACTGTTATTTTTTCGCTTTCACTGTTATTAATAATTATTTTAATTTTTTCACTTAGCGCCACCCAATAGCTGTTATGTGATTTTTTAATAGCTTTTTACGTTTAGTATGAAACAAATCACTTTATTCATTTTTAACTGTTAGTACGTAGTTTATTTTAAGTTTCAGTTAAGCATTTTGTTAATGGTTCCAAGAAAATATAACAAAATCCATAATTTTGCGATTCCATAAAACGTTCGGAAATGCGTCTTGGGCATAGAGTTTTCACTTAATTTACGATTTCATAGTTTAAAATAAAGTGTAGATCTGTAAGATTATTAATCATCTAGTTTTTTAAGGTACACGTTGAACTTGGAAATGCATTAAAATAACTACGAGGAAGCTTTTCATTTTTTCACTAAAATTTATTACGATAAATCGATTCAAAAACTATTGAGTAGTAAAATATTGCAGCATCGTCTTGCATATTGCATCTCCAAATTACAAATGGCAAATGTCAATGTCATAGTGACAGTGACAAATTGTTAAATTAAACCACAATTTATAACAATTAACAACATTGATTATAGTAATTTTTAGATCAAAACTGTATACTTTCTTAGGTTAAAACAATTGAAAAGAACTTGTTAACTCATATTCTAATTATTGTTTTTACAATGGGTGATAAGAAGTATAAACAAAGTGTTGGTATTTCTAAAACTATTAAGTTTTAACCAATTTTATTTACTAAGTTATCACTAAATCTTTGTTTTGTTTAACAGAAGGCAGATATTGCTAAACAATTTGATTTGCCCGAGCGTCAATCGAAGATTACAACATTGCTAAATCAAGCTGGCCAAGCTTACTGCATCTGCAGATCGTCAGATAGCTCTCGGTTTATGATGTGAGTTTTTTTTTAACTTACATTGTAATAAACTGTCTATGAATAATGTAGGGAAATCATTGAGTTTATTTTATTGTTTTGTTTTGTTATTCATAGAGCATGCGATGCTTGTGAGGAATGGTACCATGGTGACTGTATCAATATATCAGAAAGAGAGGCAAAGTACATAAAGAATTATTTTTGTGAACGTTGTCGTGAAGAAGACCCAAGTTTGAAGACAAGATTTCGACCACAGAAGAGAGAAAATGATGGTGACTCAGGTCAGTCATCTTTTGAAATGGGATGTTTGTTTTTTTAGACAATGAAAAAATGTTAATTTACTTTTTTATTCTACAAGTTGATTCAATTAAATACATACTAGTTAAATTGTTAAACTATTTTTAATTTAGGTCGAGATGATAGAAAAAAGAAACGCAAAGAAAAGGATCATTCTGAAAACAAATCTTCTAAAAGGTCTACGAAAGATGGTTGTGGAGATTGTTCGGGGTGTTTACAAGAATATGATTGTGGCCAGTAAGTATAGTTACAGTTACAACCAAATTGTAAGAACTAATAATCTTTTAACATATAACATTTTATTGGATTATCTACTCCGGTATTTGGATTTTCTCATAAGCTGAGTTGGCTGGAGTAATAAATGTCCTTCATACAAAATATGAAACAATTTTGGAATATCGGAAACTATAGCCATAATTATTAACGGAAAAAAAACTATATCATATACAAGTTTGGCATTCAGCATCTATAGTTCTGGTAGCTGTAACCAATGTTGTAATAAACAGTTTCCGTGTCTTTTGTAATAAACAGTTGCAATTTCTTCCCGCAGTTGTGATGCATGTGAGGACAAACGTAAATTTGGCGGCAACAACAAGCTTAAGATGAGATGCAGACAGAAGGTTTGCACCAAGGACAAGAAGTCGCTGCGTCAATCCAGGTATCTATAACAAGCGGAAATTCGCGGTGTTCCACTTATAGAAAAAAAATTTTTTCCTTGCAACAAGGCAAAGTACGCCACGTTTTAAAATTAGGTAGGACTGAGTTGCGCAATTGTTTTTTTACCCAGTTGTCTGGGTAAAAAAAAAAAAGAAACATCTGTATACTCTTGACCAACCTTTTAGTGCGGATTTGCATACTATTTAGCAGTCAATGTTCACGCTGTGCTTTTTTTTTATATAATATAAGGTTGCAAACGAGGAAGCGGCCACCTGTATCCTCCGAAATGGAAAGCCACCGCCGCCCATAAACATCTGCAATTGAAGATGCGTTGCCAACCCTTAATCGACGGAGGTGGAGACACACATAAAGAGGATATTTCCCCTTCCTATGCGTCTCCACTACCGTCAAATCTACTTTTCCTTCCTACCCTTTCCTCTTAAGAAAAGGGTAGAAAGGAAAAGGGACTAAAATTAGACCTCCGGCACCACACGGAATTGCTCCCACTTCAAGCCTGTTTTCTGTGTGGTCGTGGTATTGCACCGGGCGAGCCGGCCCATTCGTGCGTAGATGTTAAAGCGGGCTATACCACTCTCTGGTTTATCTTACAGCAGCAGTAACAGAGTAAAGAAGAAGCACCACGAGCGGGAGACGTACGAGCTGGAGGAGTCGCTGGCGCACCTGCAGGCGGCGGCGCGCCAGTGCTACGGGCCGCAGTGCACGCGCGCCGCGCGCCCCGCCTCCAAGTACTGCTCCACGGACTGCGGCGTGCGCCTCGCCACCGCCAGGATATACCAGGTCTGCATCCCCCGCTAGATAATACAGTAGAACCTCGATAACTCAAACCTCGGTAACTTAAAAACTCTATAACTTCAAAAAATAATATGTTCCTTTCCCATCAGAGCCCAAAACCTCTACAACATAGACCCTTGATAACTTAAAACCTCAATAACTTAAAGTATTTTGTGTTTTCCTTGGACTTTAACTTATCGAGGTTCTACTGTTATAATAGGCCTATTTATTTCCATATTTACATAGTGTTTAAAATTTCATTTTGTTAGTAATGTTAGTTTTACACCTTATTATAGTTATTAGTATTGTTAGTCTACTATATTCAATATTTTAAAATATAGATCCCTCTGTCATACACTGTCAGATAGAGTACCAAAATCCAATACTTTCATCAAATTTTATATGTTGGATTGTTCTCTGAAAATTTACAAGAATTATGGAATAGGTCCTTAGTGCTTCATTCTGCCTCAATTTCAGATATCATCCGCGTATTTGCGACAAGTTTAGCTAAGAGCTATTACTCTATGCCTATTTGATTTCTATGCCAGCATCAGTATTGAAGACGCGCTGTCGCCCACAAACTATGTTAGAGCGAGATTAAAAAAAATTCTGAAATTTTTCTTTCAAAATTACATATAGACACTTCTTTACTTTCTTCGTTGCTGAAGTCTCTATTAATTCTATCATTACGAAGTGTTCGGGTTATTCTAAGTTTCAATGGAATAAAACTGTAAAAACTAAGGAATTTAAATGTAGATGGGAAACCGGTGATAAGAATAAAGGTTGGTTATGATTGTCGGCAGGTGCTGCCGCAGCGCATCCAGGAGTGGTCGCTGTCGAGCTGCGTGGCGGAGCAGCACAACCGCAAGTCGCTGGAGGTGGTGCGCGGCGCGCTGGCGCGGGCGCAGGCGGCGCTGCGCCAGCTGGACCGCCAGCACGCCGAGCTGGACGCGCTGCTGGCGCGCGCGCACTCCGCCACCATACTGCACACTGACGACAAGGTACCCTATATAAGTAGGAATAGTGCGTATTGACCTCCAGCATGTTCAAGTTGTCCAAAAAAGGGTTCCCTATCATCCTGATGTATTCATGATCAGGAATTTATGGATCCATACTTTAACAGACACACACCGACGACCTATCTTAATTAACTCGCCTTTTTTTCTTATTTCTGATAGAGACAGATTCCTTAAAACATGTCAGTGCCATTATTAACTTATACAAAATACTTATAAACTATATAAATTAGAACCAAAGTACAAAAATATAAAAATGAAAAAGAAAGACAAATTGATCTTCTTTGGGTTTTCTTATATCCATGCATTAACAAAGTTAAAAAAGGTTATTTTGTAAGTGGCTGTTTTTTTAGTTAGTTATTTTTTCTACATCGTATATATTTTTTTATCATCTACATCTATGCCAAATTTCGTAGAGATTTGTGCAGGGGTTTAGGCTACAAACTGTTTCACACATCCACTTAAATTATCCATGCATAAACAGAGTTTAAACAGATTATTTTGTAGCTGTTTTTTAGGTAGTAATTTTTTTTAATCATATATATTTTTAAATTTCAAATATTGTGGATTTGTTCAGCACTGTAGGCTTCAAACTCTCACTCATCCATCTAAAGTGTTATTTATAACAGGAGGCGGACGACGAGACGTCGATGTACTGCATCACGTGCGGGCACGAGATCCACTCGCGCACGGCCGTCAAGCACATGGAGAAGTGCTTCGTGAAGTACGAGGCGCAGGCCTCCTTCGGCAGCCGCCACCGCACGCGCATCGACGGACAGAGCATGTTCTGCGACTACTACAACCCCCTCAACGCCACCTACTGCAAGCGGCTCAGGGTAACTCATCTATACTGATATAAAAGAAACATTTCTATTTTTTCTATACTGTTATAATAAAGCGTCAACACACTTCTTTGTTACCTAAGATGTCAGCAATTGCAGCATATTTTTGAATAATTATTTATTCAATAAAAAGGCCTACACTTATGTCACGCTTTAGGCTATATATTTTAACGCTATTAAATTTGGTGAGTAAATAAATTGGATAAAAATACTAATGCGGGAAAAAGACCATAAGTTGCTGCCAACATCAAGGAAACCAAAGGAAAGGAAAATCAAAGGAACCGTTAAGGAACAAAATAAGTTCTAACCGTCTCCTCGTCGCAAAAGGACGGATGAAACTTTTATTTTCATTTGTCCCCACGTGGGGACAGAGCGCGGTGACGGTTGGGAATTATCCATAATTTTGTCTTGTAGGTTTATCTCAATAAATAAATAAAAAAATTGTTTAGGTGATGTGTCCGGAGCACTTCAAGGACCCGAAGGTGGGCGACAGCGACGTGTGCGGGTGTCCGCTGGTGCGCGGCGTGTTCTCGCCCACGGGGGAGTTCTGCCGCGCGCCCAAGAAGTCCTGCCTCAAACACTACCAGTGGGAGAAGCTGCGCCGCGCGGAGATCGACATGGAGCGCGTGCGCCAGTGGCTGCGGCTGGACGAGCTGGTCGAGCAGGAGAGGAGCATCCGCCTGGCGATGGCATCCAGGTATACGCCGGCTCATATGTCCCCGTTGAGGGGCTCGGAGCCTACCCCAAGTTAGTGACTAGGCCAATGACACTGCTGGCCAAGTTTTTACTTTATTTTTTTAATTAAAAAAAATAAAAGTAAGTACCCTATATGTACTTCCAGAATATCCTCTACATCTATACCAAATTTCATAGAAATCCGTCAAGCCGTTTATAAATTCCAACAAACATCCATCCATCTAAACTTTCGCATTTATAATATTAGTATGATCTTTTTCAGAGCCGGCGTGTTAGGTTTAATGTTACATTCGACTTACAACCACGAAGTGATGGAACGTATCACCAAAGTCAATGAAAACGGCAAGTTGAAGGAGTCCTGACACCGGATATGACGTGACCGCACCTCGCAGAACTCTCGCACCGCACAGACACACACATCATTGTAACTTTGTAATAAACTAAGAGCATAATATAGTTTTTAACATATGAATACGTGAAATGAATACATTGTACCCGTTTTTAAGTAAACTGAAAACTCCATATGGTGAAAAAGCGCATAAAACTATTAAAAAAAATACTTTATAAATTATGGTAGATTTTCGACCAATGGTACAAGTATTAATAAATTTATAAAAATGAAAATGTATTGTTTTATTCATACCAGTTATATTGAATATCTGGCTCGAAGGACCACTTCCTTCGGGCCAGATATTTCCGACTACCACCCTTCCTTCTAATTTCCTTATATCTCAATCATTATATCTGAATTTACTCCATACTTACGTACATTATCCTTCAATCTATCAATACTTTGAAATAAACTATACAATAGTAAATAATATACCAATAGGTATATTTTTAATGCTTGTTACATAGAATGTGCGTACGAAAAGTATGATAGATGACTGTCGTGGATATTTGGAGTAACAGATCGTAAGTTAGACACGGTCTAACAGTTGTGCAAGCTATTTCACACAGATTAGGGTGACCATGAGATATAGAGATGGGTATATTTTCTGCAGCACCAAGGGTGTCGCGTATTATATTCCATTAATTCCTTTTTATTTATTTTACGATTTTTAAAATTTCAAGCAAATCGTGGAGTGAATCTTGTTTCTTAAAAATAATAAAACCTAACTAGTAAATAATAAGTACGTAGTTATAAAAACGTTCAGACATGACTTTCAAGTACTGATATTTCAATCTCGAATACTCTGTGTCCCGGAACATTATTTTTTATGGACATATTTTTATTTAATAGGGCGAGGGGTAAGCAGCGGCATTATTTACGGTTGCGTCTTATTAAAATAACATTAGTATATTAGAAACGCTTAAGCGTTGCTTAAAATATAATAACAATTTTATTTAAAAACTTAGGAACGCTAATAAAATAGCAGCATATCGACGAGTTAGCTTTTTAATAAGAATTTTGTACATGATGTTACACTTTCCTTTAAAATATGAATAAATTAGCTTTTGTTGCGTTTACGCCATTTAAAAAAGTAGCCAATATATTCTTTCAGGCTGATTCTATATTTATACCTAATTTCAGTTTGAAAGATATATAGTAACAATCATCCATCCAAACTTTCGCATTTATAATGATGGTCCAGTACCACCGAATTGTAAATCGTCTAATAACATTCAACGTAAAATAAGTGATGGAAATATCGGATTTTGTTACCTTATCCGACAGTGACGTCATTTTTATCACGACGTCATATCCCAGCCATCAGACAGTGTTGACACAGGCCCTTAGACTTATGGATTTAAAAACATTTTGCTGGTATATCAATATGAAAAGTTTACCTACTTTATAGTTTTTTTCTATCTCTTATTCATTAACAATTATAACTACTATATTGTATCCTCACATACTTCCTGATCGATATAAAGTGGATGCAAATTTAATGGTAAGAATAATTCTAATTAAGTTAAGGACACTAGGGTATCCAGGTTGGTTAGGCAACAATACGCGTCACAAAGTCCCCTAAACCAATTAGAATACAATGAGAATCCCATATCAGATTAGTAACAATATCAAAACATATTTTCCTTCACCCCTCAGAGCACGTGCGTATCCACGCCCCGAGATTTAATAAAACCATACCACCCTCTATAAGTCGTAATTGAAGCGTGTAATACAGTTGACATGTTTTGTTAAATCCTATAATTTGACGTCGATAACTGTTCCCCTTATAATACAATGTTAATAAGACACACACGATACAAAGGAGATACTAAGCCACTATTTATAAAAAATAATTGTTGTAACTTAGTGTAAAAATCTTGTTTTAAGTACAAAGGTATATGTCGTCTTCTATAGCATGATTAGCGCCTGGCAAGGATTTATAAAAATCAGGGTTATCTAACATTAGAGAAAAAAATCATTAGAGGTCAAATATTTAAAATCACGTATTTAACTAAACAGCGGTTATTTTATGAGAGAATGCATTAATTTTTAAACGTCTATTTCTTTATTTACAGTATACCGACAACAGTATATATAAGTACTGATCGCAGTACAGTAAGAGTCATTTTATGGTTATTTATACGGTCGTACTTTATCTTGGCTTTGGGATTTCCTTAGTAACCACTCGATGGCTATGTGCGCTCAGTAAAACTCTACATATGTACTAATGTTTGTGACAGTTAATAAAACATTGAGATAGGAATGAAAGGAGAATAGGACAGAAAGGACTGAAAAGTGTTAAAACATTTCTAAGTAATATCCACCGTACATTTCTTAAATTAGTGTCGGTCACAGTTTTGGGGTCCATAAATTAGTAGGGAAAAAGAATGCAATATGTGTATGACAATTGTATTAATCAATCACATATGGAAGAAAGGAATGCACACAAAAGGATATGGCCGTGGAAGCGTTAACTTGTCGGATTTTACCTAATTCGAGTAATTTTCGCGCGGAGTGACAGTCCCCAACGCGCCCTCTTGTGATGCATCTACCCTACCATCTGTGCTGACATGCCTAATATTTTTATATTAAAGAATGTGGCAAACACGAGATATTAAGTGTCTCCTAATTATTAATATTGGCCTGAAAGAAACATTGATCATTTTTTTATTTTTAATTTTATTCCATAAATTGTTTTTGTCATATTACGACTTCGTAGAGCGACTGTTATGTTTATAATGGTGTTAGATCGTATATAAAATTTAGCTAAAAATCTTGAGGCTAGAAAAGTTATAGCTAACATGTTTTAAATACATTTGCTATGATCTGAATTTGAAGGTTTCGCTTTATCTAATTACTAATCGATGGAAACGTACTCGCCTTAACTGTTCTAAGCTACAGTTTCGCGTAATTTAAAACCTAAAAGCAATTTGTTTGATGTTTCAAGAAACTCAGAAATTTTAAATTTCTACAGTAATATCATAGTAGCGCTTCAGGGGCAAAAGCTTTAGCGAAATTTCATAACAATGTGTATAATTCAATCTGGTCAGAAGTCGATAAGCCCGCCCACTTCACCGGCTGCAACGAATCAACGGGCCCTACCCCCAGGCACCCTTACAACCACCAATAGGGTACAAGAAATCTGTCGTCACTTTCTATTTGGGGTGTTATTTAGCAAACATTCAAATTTGGATTATAAACCTACTGAAATAGGGAACAAGTTAAGTTGCATCTTAATTTAATAATTTCGCTCGACTTTCGGGGGTTGGTTTACAGATATGGAATATTTTGATTTAGTGTAATACGTTCGTGTCGTGTGTCAGGTTAGGTCGAAGTTGACTGCCGTATCTCTAGCACTAACCTGGCTAGGTGCAATTTAACATTTCGGTGGTGATAACAAGTGTCAAGATTCATTTCCCGCTGATGTCATACGGCAGCGAGACGCCGCACGTCTGGACCAGCTCAGTATGTACCCAAGTAGATGTTGCCAACTGCCCAACCCCCATCTTTTCAGTGTATAACTGTGTTCGACTAGCTTTGCAGATGTAGCAACCGGATGATGAACCGATTGTAGCAACTTACGCAAATCATACTTCGATGATAGTACAAATTGGGCCGAATTACGAGCCGATAAAATGATCTTCTTCATCCGTGCGAACCGAAAGCTGATCTGTTGATTATCAGTTTTAGTTAAGCATGGATACTTTTAGGAGATTCACTGCTCGTTTGCCCTCTTACCCTATAAAAAAATACTACTAAGTATGAATTTGCCAGTTTATCTTGTCCAGAGTCCAGAATTCGATCATTTACAGTATGTCGTGTATTATATAATTTGATATTTAATTTAAACATATATAGCACTAGTTTTCCCCGCAACTCTGTCCGCATGGAATTATAGATAGAGATCCCATACCAGGATGACGACACTTAAATTCTAAAAAATATAACAATGGAGTTTTAGAATTTAAGTGTCGTCATCCTGGTATGGGATCTCAATCTATTAGAATCATCATCATCTCCCCTGCCTTATCCTACTCCCGTAGGGTCGGCGCACCGGGTTTTCGTCCTCCAAAGCATTCTATCATCCGTCATCTCAGTCATCACTCCCTTCTTGATCATGTCACCAATCTATTAGAATAAAAAACAAATTTAAATAGCCTATGTGTTTCCTAGACTATGCTCTACATCTATGCCTTGTATTTAGATCCGAATTCACTGAGGTCCGTTCAGCAGTTTAGTCTACAAACTCTAATGAACACCCATCCTTCCATTAAGACTATCGCATTTATAATTTTGTAGTAAAAAATATTGTTACATGCCTAAAAAGTTGATGACTTTAACGAACAATAGAATTGTATTGGTAGGTGGTTACGAATATTTTATCTCGTTTGCTTTTAATGGCATATCCTGTTTTAGCTTTTGTGAGGAAAATAAACACAATATGTGGTTAATATAATAATATGTCATCAAATTCCCGAGCAAACATATGGTTTTCCTCTTAGAATGTTAGTTAGTTTTAGGCGCATTATAATTATTTTGAAATGTGACTAACTACTAAAAAAAAGTCTCGATACTATTTACTAATGGTATGAAAGGATATTTAGCCTAAGCTATGGGTTCGGATCTTGTAACAAAGCTCACTTACTTTATATAGAAAATATATACACCACGAAGAGCACCACATCCTTGTCCCGGGTCCCGTTAGTATAATAAAAAGTGGCTAGGGATCTACCGGTCACCTGATTTTGCTAGAATAGTGAAACAACAGTTGCATATACATCTCCAATAAGATTTCTCTTTTCCATCCTTTCTTTATAAGAAAAGCGTAGGAAGGGACCGTTGTGGGTCTACAAAGTATAGCCAAGGCAAGGTACGGTGAAAACATTGTACCTAAATTAAAATTATAAAAATGATACGTGACCTTGTAACCAACAATTATGATCTAGTTAACACTTATTTTTATTGCAGGGCAGTGAGGTGTCGCCGTACGGGCCGCTGTGGGAGGCGCCTCCGGCCTCCGTGCCCTACCCCGACATCCTGGCCTTTCCTCCGGCCGACCTAGGTTAGTCTTATGAGAGCGTTGGTTTATGGAACAAGGCAAGCGAGATGTGAGTCGTCTGATATTAAATATCCACCACCCTTACGGGTAAGGGTTGCGTATGCATCTACGTCTGCTTACTGCCAGCCACTTAATGCTTACTTAAAAAGTTGCTTAGTGTAGGTTTGACACACAAAATATACATTGAGGTGCTCATTTAGTGCAGGTTAACAGGGTGTGACAGGTAACTTACTTGCTTTAAGTTGTAACTTTGATACTCACATTACTTAGTATGTAGTTTGTAAAATGTATGTTTTTATACTCAGTATGGTCTGCGGGTGGGTGCGGCGCGCGCGGTGGGTTGCGCGCGGCGGCGGGCGGCAAGAAGCCCCGCCGGCGCGTGGCCTCGGTGGCGCAGCGCCGCGCCGCCAACATCCGCGAGCGCCGCCGCATGTTCAACCTCAATGAGGCCTTCGATAAGCTGAGAAGAAAGGTAAACCAGCGCCTAATATAATAACCTCATTAAACAATGGCAAAGCTGCCCACTCCGATAACAAGTGTGAGTTCAGACATAACGGCTGACAGAGATGCTTGAAACAGTAGTGATACTGTGACTACCCTCCATCGGGTAAAAGGCGGTATGATTATGTGCGTTATTAGGTGGCCGTTTGCGTACTTGTCAGCTTGTATTGTAGAAAAAGTACATGAGTGTTGTATGACAGGTGCCGACGTTTGCTTACGAGAAGCGGCTGTCGCGTATCGAGACGCTACGTTTGGCAATCACCTACATCGGCTTCATGTGCGAGTTGCTGCACGGGTCACCCTCGCCGGCACCAGGCCAGGGGCCACACCACGCGCTGCATCACCACAGGCATGTTTTTGACGCCGAAGTTCCGTGGTGCGCATAGGTTAAAAAAATCTTATACCCCCTATACACTGACAACATGCAAATAGCATCGGGAAAATATCTACAAAACTGTTATCATGTGCATTAACGTCACTTGTAGCGTACAGGAAGCTTAGTTTTAATGCTAAGGGAATCTTATCTTATAACGTGTACGACCTATGATTTTCTAATCGTTTTTGTTAACCTTTTAAGAGGCAATAAGACAATTGCACTGTGAATCTTAACTCTATGGATTACTAATGTTTATCGCATTGTTTCCTAATAAAATTTTCACTTAAAAGAACATAAGATGTAGTGTTAGTACGGATAGTACGGATACATCATAGCGGATTCAACTACGCTACAAATATACGAGTACTGTATATTACTGTGTATCTGTGGCTTAGATAAGCGTACACATAGTACACATAGTACACATAGTACGCAAGAAACAAGCACATACTTTGAGTATGAGATTTAAGTTGGTATAAAACACGCGGTTATCATAAATTAGCCTTTTAATATTGTGTTTATGTAATGTAGTTTTACTTAACAGTAGTAAATATGTATAAAATGTCTTCCATTAGTGATAACAAAATAATAATATTTTAGTTCGATTATAAACTTAAACTGTAATTCTGCGTTTTATTCTCTAATCAAATGTTATAGAACATAGAAACAAAAGAAATCAAATAAACTGACTTTTTCTAAAGAGAACATATCAAAATGTAATGGTCGAATGTTTGTTTGCTGACAAGTAAAAACCCAAAAACAATTTTGCATATCACTCAAGAGCGTCACTATGACCTAATATAAAAATTATAATTAATTCTCAGCTTTTTGTTAATAAATCTAACTAAATAAATGTCAAAGTTTAGATGGATGGATGTTTGTTACAGTTTGGAGCCTAAACTACTTACTTTAATGAAATTTGGCATACTTATAGAGGACATAGGCTATAGAACATAGAACATAGTTGGAAGATACTAGGCTACTTATGACCCGAAATAGTTACGTGAGATACATTATTGGGCTGAAAAGCTAACTCGATAGTTTTATAAGAGTTTAAAATATATTGATATTTAACACAGTAATAAATTAAAGTCTGGAGTAACATAGGGGATACAGTTAATTCCCGTAAAATGTCAGGTTCCCGAGGGACATGTGGTATTTTTTCATAGTTCTTTTTTATAATACTGAAGTCACGGTTGAAAGTTATGAATAATAGTTCCATAAAATCGACAATAAACGTTTTCCATACTAATATTATAAATAGAAAAGTTTTTTTATTAATTTCAGTATTATATGTGTGTTTGTGCGTATTTGATTCACGCAAAAACTGAGCCGATTTTAAAAATTCCTTCACCATTAGAAAGGTAATTTATCTGTAAGTAACAGAGACTATATTTTGTATTCGTTTTTCATTTAGTGGGGGCAAAGTCGCGAGCAACTAGTATACTATAATTTCAAAGTTACTAGGTGTTGCTCGCGACTTGGGCCGCGTGTAAAAGCCTATGTTATTGACAACGTAGCTTTGGAATGGTGAAAGATTTTTTTAAAATAGTTCAACTAGTTTATGAGTTACATTCAATACAAATTATATTAACTATAGATTTCTGCGAAGGTTATCATTAAGCACTTCAAAATACCGCGTGACTGTTTAATAAACATATAATGTAATAAGAACATATCCGCGAGATAAGAAAATGGAATTTCTTAGTGTAAGAGATAAATACATTGATTGTCAAATGGATTTACCATCTTATTAATATAAATGGGAAAATTTGGAATGATGAACAATTAAATATTTATTTGATTGATTAATAAAATAGTAACTGAAATGATAAACAGCTGAACGGATGTCGAAGAAAATGACCCAGTTGTAGAACATAGTCTAGAAGAACACATAGCCTTCGGTGAAATTGCTGCTTGCATGCTTTCAAAAGTTTTAGCTTGTTCAATTCAGTCACTTAGTGTGTTGATCATGAAATACCAATAGATTGAAAATGTCAATAATTTTACTAAAAAGTCAATTATATAACGCCAACTATATATTTACAATTTCTTAATTATTTAATACTAGCTTTCGTCCGCGAGTCTGGTGGTCTGAAATAAATATGCCCAGTATTTTGTTTATTGTTAACATAAAAAATAAAAAAAAACCAATAGTTATTAATTGTTTACTATTTATATATACTCGTAAATTACCAGTAAAACTTCCGTGATAACTAAGCTACAATGTAACTTACAATAATTCTTAGTAAAAATATTTTAGATGATTATGGCCTAATGTGATCCAAAATCCATTTCATATATTTTCTAATATCCGTGTATATAGTAGGGGGGTCTGACCCGCATTCATTATTTCCGTAAGACACAATACCGTATTGTACTTGTTTATATGTGTTCTTCACTATGCTTTCTACCATAAGAGGACCGCCGGAGTCGCCTTTGCATGAGTCGTGACCCAGCTCACCAGCGCAGAACGTGTACGTCAGTCGATTGTAAGATTCCAAGTTGACACGACCATTCCTGAACAATAATGCAATTTATTAAGTCACCAGTATATAATTATTTACAGATTTACTCAGTACAGACCGCAATATAATCGATACTTTACATTTTTAGTTAGAAATGATAAAACAACGACATTGTGCCAAAACTAACGACGAATTAGGGCGATCCTTATCTTAAAATTTCATTGCTATGACATTGACATTGAGAGCGCGGGTAGAAGAAAGTAAGAGCGGGTGCACACCTTTGACTAACCTATGGCACAACTGTTAGAAGATACTGTGAACATCGATAGCAGCTAAAGTCAGCGTCAAAATGGCGATAATAAAATGGGTGCGAAACCCCGTCTTATAGCCTGTCCAGTAGAAAAAAGTGGTCAATACTCTTCATACTTCTATTGTGGGTATATTCATAGCACTAACCTGCTATACCGCTTTAAGCATTCTCTGGGCGAATATGTTGGAACATCGACTCTGAGTAGGACGTTGGATTTCGTTTGATTTTCAGTTATACCCCAACCGGCCACAGTCGCTCTCTCACCATATATGCGCTTCGTTAAAAGTAAATTTGTCATCGGCAGGCATATCGTACCAGAGTTTCCTAAGCAAATGTAAACAGATATCAATAAAAAAATACCAAGTGGATAAACATCGGATACAAATCGGAACAAAGACCACGGGTTAGCGTGTATCATCCTATACATTATTATTAAGAGCCACCAGTTTCTGAGAGAGAGAAGAATTTGCTACAAACAATACTGTAAACTGTGAAATATTAACTATATTATTACAATATGTGTGGTTTCAAAGTGTACAATACTTTAAAACGATTGTCGGCTAGAAGGGTAATTGTAGCCGACGTACGAGTACATTGGTGGTTGGCTCTAGTTGCCTGGTTGGCTGAAGTTGGCAACGTTGGTTTTTGGTCCTTCTTAGATTATATGCATGTGATGTACAAAAAGCTGTCGAATATCTACATACGTAGAGTTTAATTTGAGTTATCGTTTTTAATTGGTGTCATGAGACGATACTCTCGAAGGTGGAAAGAAACAAAAGGTTACCAGCAAATATCCATACAAGTAAACATTCGGTTTAATGTAAATTTATGGCAACCTACTTCTAGTTACGTTTCACTTGTGTGGTTATACATGTGGGTAACCAGATGATGATGTCTACGAAAGGGGTCTACCTTTGATATAGTCTTATTCAAAGATTTTCATCTGTTTTGCATTTTTTGAGATGGCCGAGCGCAGATGGCGCTTAGCCTAAACCTCATTTATAAGTAACTAAGCTCGAGGGCTTCCTCAGAAGGCTCGGCACGGGCCGTTACTTCCTTTTATTACCGGATGTGGCTGGCACGTACATAAGGGTGTATGATATGTATTTTTTACGATTACTTACTAACACTTAGATCAGCATGTGTTTTAAGACGCAAAAGACCGATGTCGTTAACGGTAAATGGGTTGTCACGGTAAGCCTCGTGATGGATCGGCTCTGACACATCGATTTCCTGTCAAAAACAAAATTTGTTAGAACACCTTTTTAGTAGTAGACACGAGGTACTTCTGTTTGTTATATTCTGAAGAAGAAATTGAAATTAACGCTATTAATGTAAATTACATATCATGAAACTTCAAGTTTATATTGTTCGTAACATAAAAATATTACATCGGATTTGTGGAATTTATATGCGATTTAAACATATCTATATTATTTGTGTTATCCACTTCACACATCAGAGCTCTGTGGTCTCTACCACTGGTGAAGTGCAGATTTATCTACATTGTCAATAAGTGCCTTCGCAAGCCTACTGTTTGCATTCTAAATGAGTTTATTATTATTTGTATTTCGAAATAACATTGTTATAAAAATAAACATTTTGTTTACCTGATATTTAGGTGCGCACTCGATATAACTATCTTCACCAGAACAATCGACATCTGAGCTAATGTCGTATTCTCCAATGCGGACTTTGGCGACATTTCTGTCCATAATGCAATGTGCTGCAGTTAGCACGTATCTTGAATTGATCACCGAACCTCCACAGTCCATACTAAAATCGTTCCCTACTATTTGAAAAAATATCGTTAGCTATAATAATTGTAATAATCTTAAAAACGAACAAAAAAAATTGATACGTTACTTAAAAATGAAGTGTGCTTTTTGTGACCCCTACAGTAAATGCTTCTTTGTTTTGCAGAACTTTGTCTACACTACCGCACAACTGTTATGAGATTGTCGCTTGTTTCGCAGCCAATTCAACTGTTTAGTTGCATAACTAAAAATCGAATATTGTGCGCACCTCCATATAATATAAGCTTATAGGAATCAAAGCGAAACTAAACTACATACTATTCTACAGGCATTGGCGCAGTTTTTGAAAAAAATTGGTATAAAAACAGCTTGTAAACGTTGTAGAATGTATTGATGCGTGAAAACAAGTGTGAATGTTGTCAATCCAGGTAAGAACAGTTTGTAACTTACTTTTATATATGATGATTGCTAGCCAGGGGAATTCATACGGCGATGGTTTGTTTCCACCAACGATTTTACCACCGTCTATATCACCGCAGTCTTCCGGCAAAAGATTCACATTGGGATGTTTTTCTACCTCGAATTCATCATTTGGGTCGTTTTCAAACGATCGCATACTAATTATAAATTCTGTACAGCATACCTGTCGAAATAATATCAAATGGAGTAAAAGAAAAACGTCTATTTGCGACAGATGCTGTTGCCGAGGTTACAGGAGTTCTTATCGCAGTAATCAAAACATAGAACATACTTGCGTAATGTTTTATTCAAAATGAATCTATAATCTAACCTTTGGTTCTTCATCAAAGCCGCAGAAAGCATTTTTCAGCATATTCGCGGTTTCATTGTCTTTGTTATTTTTTACTCTATCGAGGGCCATTGAGCAACTCGATATTTTGATGCAGTCATCGCCGCAGTATTCTGTCGATATAATTAAATTATACATAGTTATTGGTAATTCCATGTATTTCCGCTAAGAGGTGATAAAAGGGTTCATCTATACTATTATAATAAAGCGTAAACACACACTTCTTTGTTGCCTAAGATGTCAGCAATTACAACATATTTTTGAAATTTTATTAATAAAGCCCTACACTTACGACATGTTCTAGGCTATATATTTTCACACTATGTAACTTAGGGGGTAATAAATTGTATACTTTCATATGGAAAAGGGACCATAAACTACAACCTTCCTATTCCTTAGAAAAATTGGGTTTGTTTTAGCGCCTTTGGGACAAGCTCCTAGCTATTATGCATTTTTGAAAAGCTAAGAAAACGGTCATATTTAAAAAAAAAAACTCTGAAAGCCAAGTTACATGGCGATTTCTTTTGTTTTTTTAAGGCATTTCAATGGATGATGAATGGATATATTAAAGTAAAGTGATCCTTTAGCTCGCATTTTTATAAGAAAATAATCTGAAGAAAAAATTAAGTTATAATTGATAGTTTTTTAATATTTTTTTTTAAGTTGGATTATTGACTTATTTTAAAAATAATCATAAATTTAATATTAGTCGATGTCACTATCCCACATGACGAGAATCTCGTGAAAGCCGAAAATCATAAATTCATGATTACTCAAAAATGGTTAAGTTTTGTATAATGTATGATATATAGCGAGTCAAAATTAACTATAACAAATGAACCCATCTATGAATTTTTAGCAGGAATACATTGAATTACGTATAAACCTGTATTTACATTTATGCTAATAAAAGCATGCACAGTAACAATAAAAAAGTGTTTTTTTCTCAACAAAAATCACCAATTATATCTAATATATGCACATTCACGTATATTTAGTTAATATTTCCACAGTTATTTTTAACCATGTGTTACAACACAACAACTATTTTTTTAACGGCATCATTCACGTCTATTTTTCTGGTGGCGGCACAATTTAACATGTATCTTTAGTTATTATTCATATAACTAAAATTATACTTACTGCAACTTGTTATTCCTATTGACAACAACACTCCAAGCAATACACTTGGTGGCAAGAACATATTGTGTGAACGCCTATCCCTCTCAAGTTCACTTTGCCTACTGGTCAAGTTGATGACGGCTTCTTATCTTCTGTATTATAGTTTGTCTAAACAAGGATGATTAGTTTGACAATTCATTTGACAATTTAGTAGGGATGGGTAGAGTAAAATCAACTATTTTGCTCTCATAAAAGTTGGAGTAAATATAAAAAATACCGTTTTTTCATTCGGTGACTCGGTTGTTTAAGCATTTGACTTGTAAGCTAGAGGACTTGGGTTCGATTCCCGCCATGTACCAATACAGTCGTAGTACTTTTATTACTAATACATCGTAGAAAATCTTAATAAAATTTGTTAATATTATTGTCATCGCTATCGGTATGTTCACTACTAAAATTGTACCTTAATTTTATTAATAAGGAAATAATAATTATACTTCGATTTTTAACGATTAAACTCATAGTTCATAGTTGTTTTTATGCGTTTATGATCCGTCACTATGATAGTCTATTAAGTACGGCAGTTGCGTTCATACAAGTTTTATTCGATATTTTATATGTGTGATTTATCAAACTAATCAACCTTAGTAAGACAAACTATAATTGTATTACTCTCATAGGGAAATGCCCATTCATTATCTATACTATTATAATAAAGCGTAAACACACACTTCTTTGTTGTCTAAGATGTCAGCAATTACAGCATATTTTTGAATAATTCTTTCTTTAATAAAATCCCTACACATACGTCATGCTTTAGGCTATATATTTTCATGGCATTAAACTTAGGGGGTAAATATTTTGGATAAAAATCCTAAGGTGGAAAAGAGACCATAAGTTGCTGCCAACATCAAGAAAGAAAGATTGCTAAGGTTTGTCATGTCATTTTGACATTTGCTATTGATAATTTGACAAATATAAACAACAAAATAAAGTTTTCATAATTTTATACGGATGAAGCCGCACGGGAACAGCTAGTAATTACGTAAAATAATTGGTTTGCGAACGTAAATGAATTAATGTAATTATCAATAGCAGGTCAGGTCATGTTTTCGTCACTTGTTTTGTTTAAAATAATTTTAACTATCGCAAAATAACGCAGATCGTCATATTTAGGCAATATGTTTTAATGTTGTCGATGACGTGAAGGTATCGTTCTCAAGAATATTCACGGTCATCTTCCTCCTTACTTCTTAAGAATATTGTAAATGTAAAAGTTTAGACGGATGGATGTATGGATGTTTGTTAGAGTTTGTCGCGTAAACGGCTGAACAGATCTTTATGAAATTTGGCATAGATGTAGAGCATAGTCTGGAATTACACAAAGCCTACTTACTTTAGTTTTTTTAATACCACGCAGCTGGAGTCCCGGGCTAAGCTAGGATGTAACAATAATAGACTCATTTATGTTGGGTTTCTGAAGTTTTTTTTTATTTTATCATAACCTATTACCAATAACTAATAGTTTTCTAATTTATTACATTAACCCTGGTCAAACCAAGGCCGTAGCTAGAGTCCAATTTGCAGTAGAGCAGCAATGGTTGCAGGTAGGGCGGAACAAAAAATTACATAATGATTTGCCCTTGAAGCACGGGCAAAGGTTAAAAAAGGGGATTCCCTGTCAACGTCAAACAGTAGTACATTCGGAAAAGTTTAGATATCTATAGCTACATTATTTTAAACTGTGAAAAAACAAATTAAATAAAACTTTACTTTATTTAAGTATTTTTATGTTTGGGTATTTCCCAAAAATTATCCTCCGTTCCCACTAACACTGACCCCGACCCGTGCACATCTATTCAGTAACCTCAGCTAACGAGTGACGTCATGAGACCATCGGCATATCTTCTGCGAGCAATAGTTATTTACTTCAAATCAAGATTTTTTTTAAAAAGGCGTTAATCTTAAGATTAGGTTAGGTTATTATGTATTGATTAAATAAAAAATGTTTTATTTACTTACTTATTATGTATTGTTTATTTATGTTTTAAGAATACAATATGAACTTAAAAATAGTCTTACATAATAAATGTTTTACTTTATTCGATAGACATGAAAATAGAACTTGAAAGAGTCCTTTGGAGACATGTCTTTGACTGCTAGGCAATATCCCTACAGAAACCCAAACGAACTAACTTTATTTGATATCGATTATTATTACCAGACTAATTTTTACGTATATTTTCTGGTTTTTCATTTTATGGTTTAATTGTATCCAAAATCCATTTCATAAACTTTCGGACATCCGTGTATATTCCAGGTTTATCTAAACCACATGTTCTAGACCCATAAGACACGACACCGAATTGGACATATTTGTATAGATCATCGTAAAAAGTTTCGACCATGAGAGGTCCTCCAGAGTCACCATTGCAAGAGTCATGGCCTGTTTCACCAGCACAAAACGTGTTTGTCATTCTGTCTACTTTTTCCTGTTTTGAGATACTGGAACAAAATTTAATTATGTTTATACAGTGTTGAATTATAACTTTATTATTACTTGACGTTAAAGTCCGGTCAAGATAAGTAAAATTTAGGAGTGACTAAAATAATTCGCAGAAATTGGTATGGTACGTATGTTCCAAACATGATGCCACACGTAGATGGGATTTTTCAGTGTTCACATATAATGGTGTTCCAAATATTCTCACCAATTTTCAACTCTATGTGTATTGTTATTAGGTCCAATATTAAATTCCCCGGAGTATCTTTAATTCATATTTGTCTTCTAAAACTTCTTTTACAGTGGAGCGTAAAATTAACATCACAGTTAAAATCATTAATAGAAAGTTTTTCTATTTCCTTACCCTTTGTAAAACGTATTACACGAAGATTTTGAGAATATAGGTAACTCAACTTTGAGAAGAATATTGGATTTAGTTTGATTTTCTGTCAAACCCCAGCCGGTCACGACACCTCTCTCACCCGACAGATCTTTTTCTCGTAGTTCTTTTGTAACAGGTAAACAAATGACGCCTGAATTCACTGATATAAAAAGGTAAACTTTAGTTAGAAATAGTTAAATAAGTATGGTTTAGGAAAGTAAATTTCAAATCACCAAACTCATAGAACATATTACATCAAATTATTTAAAACATTAATGTGGAATCTCAACCAATCAGAAGTTAATTACAAGTATATAAATCTAATAACCAAAAAACTTACCGTAAGAAAAGTCTACAGGTGTGGCGAGACGTAGCAGCCCAATGTCATTTAGGACATATGGACGCGAAACGTATCCGAAATGAGCTATCTTATGAGTTACGAAGATGTCCTGTTGGAAGTGTAACATTACATATTATTTATTACTAGCTTTGGCCCGCAACTTTTTTCGCGATTAAGATAAGAAAACAAAAGTAAGTAAGTTCTATGTGTATCCTCTACATATGTGCCAAATTTCATCGAAAACCGTTCAGAGAATAATCTCTGAACGACTCAAACAAACTTCCACACATCCGTCCAAACTTTCGCATTAATCTTTATTCTAATATTATAAAGAGGAAAGATTTGATTTTTTGTATGTATTGGAATAACTCAAAAACTACTAGGCTGACTTCAAAAGGTCTTTCACCATTAAAAAGCTACGTTTTCACTGAGTAACATGGCTATGGTTTTTTTAATTTAATTCCACGTGGACGTAGTCGCGAGCAACAGCTAGTAATATTAAAAGTAGAAAGTATGATATGATTTAAGTATATAATATTATTCACATTACTTGTAACATTTCTTTTGTGTTCAGTTTATTATTTGATAAAAAATCTCCTTCTATACCTGATATTTAGATGCACAATCGAGTATTTCGTCCTCCCCCACGCAATCTTCTGCTTGGCTAACGTCATAGTCACCGATTCTAACTGCAACTATATGTTGGTTGATGCAGTGTGCAGCCGTCAGCACGTACCTCGCAGTTATAACTGTGCCTCCACATTTAAACATTAAAATCCCATCTAGAATCAAACGCGTTCAAAATTCTTAGAACATTCTCTAATTCCTGTACACACTGGGTCCACTAACATTTCAAATCACTCACTATAATTGTATGAAATGAGGGCCATCCAGGGAAACTCAAAAAGGCCAGCAGTGGTTCCGCCTATAATTTTGTTTCCGTCCACATCGCCACACTCAGTTGGTAGAAGTCGGATATTACGATGATTTTCGATTTCGTCTCCAGAAGTTTGTGCATTTTTTTCATTCATAAGACGAGTTGGTAATAAATCAGAACAGCAGACCTATTCACAAAAATACAGAAGTGAAAATCTGATAGGTTTGAATTTGTGTCTTAATAGATACCTTAATAGGTAGCATGAAAAATATATTAGTGTTGCGAGTTCACGAGATGTTATCTCTGTAAAAATTATCTTGTTTAAGGCCGGAAATATACATGCCTGTAGCTGGTATGCTAGTATACCAATGTACCGGGCACGTGATACGTACAAGGCAGCACAACATTAGATTTTGCTACACCAGCGTATATTTAAGTTAAGGTAGTGGCGAGGGGTTTGGTCCGAAGCTAAACACTCACACGTCTCTTATGATCACGGTCACATTTCACTGACATGTGTATACGCAATGTGCCAGTGGCTGGCGTGTGTCATTAGGTGGCATGCTCGCTACTATCTTAATACTGGCAGGCGTATTCCCGATTTCTGCATAGTTTCTGGTAATTGTAAAGTATGTTTAGGATAAGAGAAGTCCATTTTCAACTTGCCCTTATCCGTTACGCAGGGTCGGCATAGTATGTGCTGCTCTTACATCTCTATCAGCCGTCATATCTAAATTCACTCCCTTTTGACCATATCCTCTTACACAATCCATCCATACTTTCTTCGGTCTTTCTCTATCTTTTATGAACGTAGTTTGTGAATGTTTGCAAACCTTTTGAATCACATCAAAGCCACAGAAAGCGACTTGGAGCTGTTGAAGTGCCGCCCGACTGTTTAAACGGGCTAGCTGCATAGCCGGTGCACAGTTTGTTATCCTCTTGCAATTGTCGCATTTTTCTGGTATTGAAACGTAAATCTATATATCCGACTATAGTCAAATGGCAGGATACGAACTCTCGACATCGTCATCGGAAATATTTATTTTTAATATAAGTTTCACGATTAAAATAAATCTTACTTCCTTTCTACATTCGTAACATTATTGTAAACTAGAAGTATTCCAAAGAATTGTCATTTTATTTATAGCTTCTCAGGTCCCTGACACTGATATGATATTGTCCAAGACACAAGACGAAGTTAAAGTACTTATCTATTGAGACAATTAAGTTTCTCGCTAAATCAATTTCAAAAAGAAGAAACACAATAAATATATGAATAAATGTAAAGAAAAAAAATAATGCTAATAATAAAAAGTCAAAAACATTTAATTTTTTTTCTATTCAGAGACAAGGCTAATTATAATAGTATATATTGTTATTAATTGTGATTATGATAAATGATAAATTATGGTAAACTCACTGAAAGCAGTAGTAAGGGTCGCAAGCAATACACAGCACAATACAACTGGGAGCGACCGCATCTTGTAGGCACGTTGTTTTGTCCAAAGAGTAGTAACTACTTCATATTAAGAGTCGGGACTTAAACAATGAACGGAAATCTGTCAAAATTAATTACCGCGACAAATAGTTGCCATGATAAAAATATTTCAACTATTTTAATTATTCTGAACACAAGGAAAAACATGGACATGGACAACAATAGTGTTGCGCTCTTTTTACCGATATCTCGACACCGATATCGAAAAATTTGGGGTGGTGGGGTGGCCTTTATATTAATAACAATAATATTATTTAACAAGTAACATATTCTAGACCTATTAGACACGACACAGAATTGGACATATTTGTATATGTCTTCATAAAATGCTTCGACCAAGAGAGATCCTCCAGAGTCACCATTACAAGAGTCATTGCCTGCACAGAATATATTTGTCGTTCTGTCTACTTGTTCCTGTGTTGGGATACTGGAACAAAATTTAATTACATTTATACAGTGTTGACTTATAAGTTCATTGTAACTTGACATTAGGGCCCGATCAAGCAAAATTTAGGAATATTGGTAGTATCTTTCTTAATTCATTAATATTTCTTGTTCCAACTAAGCTCTAGGATTATGCTAGGATATGGGTTGTGACTGTAGTCGAATTGCAGGATACAAACACTCGCCATCGGAAATATTTTTAACCATTAAACAATTGACGCTTCAAAATTAAAATGAAATATGAAAATACACTAAGTTTCTTGCTAATTCAATTTAAAAAGAAACAACATAATAATATTACTGAGGGAAAAAATGCATAGTAAAAAAAACATGCAGACGAATTGGATACATCCTTCTTTTGGGAAGTCGGTCAAAAAAAGAATATCAAGTTGAAAACATTTTTTTAAAATCTATTATATCATATTTAGACACTATACTATTTATTGGAATTTACTTTTAATCATTAGTCATCTGTGCTGGGGTTATCATAACTGACTTATGAACCTAATAACAATAACAATAGTAATCAGTTGAGGAAAGAAGTTTAGTAACTAACGTGACAATTCCTTGCAAAACTGCAACTACGTATTTTGTTGCTAGAACTGATTTTCATCGTTAAACTGCTTTCAGCCCATCGAAGGACGGAAAGTAGTGTAACTAACAAAAACGGTGGAGAAACTCCGATCGCTAACTCGCTGGCAAAGCGTGGCGATTTTGGCAAATCTCCTGGCATGATGGCCACAAGAGAAGTCCGGCATCACTACATCTAAGTCAACACATCTATAGTACGGAAAACATAATTGGCTCGATGAGACAGACACTGGTAACGCGGTTGTTCCATCGGAAAATACGTTACTAAAACCTATCTATAGATTGTAAACGTTATCTGACCATAAGTCAAACTAAATTATCTCTCATGTGAACTAACAATGTCGTTTTGACAGCGTCATATGACCAACGATGTTAAAGAAAAGACGGTTAGTTAAAAATTGAATTTATTGCATTAATCTAATTAGTGTTTTATACATTTATTTGTCGGAGTGACGAGCAGTGACTACTCCATTGTAGGCGTGCGTAAGTCGGAGATATTGAAATATAAATCGCCTAACATTAGAAACACCATCATTAATGAAAACTGACCATCTTGAATGAAAACTGCACCACACAATCTAATCAGATTGCAAACATTTATAGAGATTGAACAATTGACTTTATCATAAACGAAGCGCATATTTTTCTATTCAATGACAAATGCACATTCGGCCAGTAATCAAAATTATAAATTGCCAGTAACTTTAACCATTAAAAAGTTAACAATCTAATAAATACTTATATGAAATAACATGATAAAATGGATACGTGGGGCGACAGTTTGTAGTCGGAGCAGGGGTGCACATCAATACTTTCGTACCGTGATGCGTCGCGGCGGCGAGGATTTTTTACAAATACTGATTATTAAAATATTATTAATCTTAGGCTTTCAAATGCGATCGTAACGAGTAAATTACAATGATCTTATATCGAAAGCAGTGTGGTTATATACGTTTGGGGTAAAACATACAACAATGTTGACCTCCGTGTCATCAATTAGAAGCGGTCAAAGTGTTAAACACGTGTTCAACTAAATATCTAACTATAGTTTTATTCGTATATTATACTAGTTTTCGTCCGCGACTCCGTCCGCGTAATAATAAAAGAACAACACAGAGTAGCCTATGTGTTCTTCCAGACTATTATCTACATGTATGCCGAATTTCATCAAAATCCGTTTAGCCGTTTATAGTTCCATTCATCTAAACATTCGCATTTATAATATTTGTATGATTGTATGTTTGGTAAAATTCTATGGTTTAATAGTATCTAAAATCCATTTCATATATTTTCGGACATCCGTGTATAGTCCAGGTTTATTTGTACCACAACCCTCAAGCCCGAAAGAAATGATGCCGATTTGAACAAATTTGTACGTTCCGTTGTAAGGTGCTTCAACCATGAGAGGTCCTCCAGAGTCTCCTTTGCAAGAATCACGGCCAGTCTCGCCGGCGCATATAGTATTCATCAACTTGTTTGAATTATATGGCCGCGATCGAAAAGCACTGAAAACATTGTTATATTATTGTCTAATAAAAAAACTTTAAGTTTTCTTTAACTGCACTCCCTTTAATAGCGGTAAAGCTTAACAGTAGGAGAGCCCGCTTTAATAGTGAAATACCACGACCACACAGAAGACAGGCGTGAAGTGTGAGCAATTCCGCTTTTCGTCTGATGAGTGTGGTGCCGGCGACCCTACTTTAGGTCCTTTTCCTTCCCACTCTTTTTCTTATACAAATAGAATGGGAAGGGGACGTGGATTTGACGGTGTAAGAGAGAATAGAAAGGTGAAATATACAATAACATCTTTATATGCGTCTTCTCCATCGTCGATCAAAGGTAGGCAACGCGTCATTCGTTATTTTGGCGGATCCAGGTGACCGCTTACTCGTTTGCCACCTTATGATATAAAAAAGCACTTTGATATTAGACCCTGCGTATCTGGTTTTTAATATATGCAGTTATGGATGTGTAAAATGTTAATCTGTTCACTTAATTTTAGTGTTAGTTGTAAACGTGAATAGGGTTTATTTTTGCTCACTCTTTGTATAAAGATTTGCACGTCAATTCTGAGTACATAGTCACTTGAACTTTGAGTAGAACGTTGGATTGCTGTTGTGTTTCTGTCGCTCCCCAACCGGCTACTGTACCGTGGTCATCAGGTAATGCGCTTTCCCGTAGAACCTTCGTTATCGGTAAACAAATAGTTCCAGAATTTCCTGTGGATGAAAAGGTATGATTTAGCTACAGAATTTTACATACATTTGATTGCAAGTACTGTATTACCGTTAATGTAAAGATTTATTCATGAATCTTACTATAGGAAAATTCCACAGGAGTAGCAAGACGTAGCAGCCCGATGTCATGCAACGCCACTCCAACTGACTCTGTGACGTATTTGGGATGACGTATGCGATGCGTTACGGTAATGTCCTGTTGCAGATATAAGAACACTTTTAAAAGATTGCTAAGGTTTGTCATGTCATGTAATTTTGACATTTGCTATTGATAATTTGACAAATGTAAACAATAAAATAAAATTTTCATAATTCCATGCGGATGAAGCCGCACGGGAACAGCTAGTATTTAATAAAAAAAAATACTTGCTGTACCTGATAATTAGATTCACATTCACGGAGTTCCTCCTCCCCCACACAATCTTCTGGTTGGCTTATGTCGTAATCACCTATTCTCACTCCAACTATACTTTTGTTGATGCAGTGTCCGGCTGTCATCACGTACCTCGCTGTTATAACTGAGCCACCGCATTTAAACTTCAAATTTCCTCCTAGAATTAAACGCTGTCAACATTTAAACATTTGAAACTCCCGTACTCACTAGGCTCAATTAGTAGTAATACTCACCTTCATTGTAAGAAATGAGGGCCATCCAGGGAAACTCATAAAGGCCCGCAGTTGTTCCGCCAATAATTCTGCTTCCGTCTATATCACCACACTCACTTGCTAGAAGACGGATGTTACGATGATTTTCGATTTCGTCTCCAGTAGTTTGTGCGTTGTTCTCAATGTCGTCAGTTGAAAATCGCACTCCAAGTATGCTAGAACAGCAGACCTATTTACAAAATATTATTACTTCAAAGATGAAAATATTACGAATCAACTACACGAATAAACTAGAATTAATTTTGATAAAAACAAAAAAGAATCAAAAATAAATGTACTGGAGTTAATGAAAATTGTAATAATATATTGTTACGAGCGTGTAGCATAGAGTTAAAACGCTTTGATAATTTATTCTTAAATTTATTCATGACTTACAGAGACTGCGATTCACTACACTCACACACTTCTTCCTTAATACTTCACGACACACAAAATACAGGATCACTAACACAGAGCACTTTACAGAACACCACTGTCACTATAACACTTGCACTTTCACTTCGCGGTCACATAAATCTTCTTCGCAATTTACTTAAGAGTTCTGCGTCGCAGTTCACTTTCCACCGTAAGACTCCCCGGTTCACGACTAACTCCCCTTATATACCCTGAATTTCGATCTTCTTTTCGTTATTCATTTGTCATTTTATTCCAGAACTTTCTCGATTGTCCCAATATCATACATTTCATAATGGAACATTCTCGACGCCGTTTCGAATATTCCAGACATTTTTTCGCGAACGTCATTTTCGCCACTTGCGGCGATCGAACATTCTGGAAACAGCTCGATTATTCTTCGGATATGAATTTCGCTATTCATAAATAGATGACGTCGCGACAATATGCACGGGTTCTTTAAGATTCTTAAATTCGGATAGCAATTATAACACTCAATTTACAAAGTTAATAGGTTATCAAAATTCGGAAGATATAAAACAGTGTCGGATGTTTTCTAATGACGAATAAACAATAGTTACAGACTTTTGTAATGCTTCTTATCATTCTAAAGTTTGTATGTGAATTACCTTATGAGAACCTTTAACATCACAAGCGGCATCTCGCAGTTGTTTATATGCTTCCGGACTTCTGTCACTGAGAAGTAGATCCAAAGCCGGCTTACAATCAACTGCTTTGACGCAATCGTCGCATCTTTCTGTAAGCATAAACGATATACATAAACGACGATCTATAAACAAAAACGTTATTTTAATCAGCCATATTTCGCGAAGAAATACTTTTTACTCTTCTCCATGTAACTAGTACTATTTATAGAATAACTATAACTAGTTACTTTTAACATTCACTGCTTTATAAATAAAGATTATTCGTCGGGAACTACTACATTTTTGTGATCAAATTTAATTCAAACAAATGTTTAACATGATGTGTTGTTAATAAGATAACTATTTAAAAAAAAATGTTAGCATATATTTGTACTCACTGAGAGCAGTGGTGACAGCTGTAAAGAGTAAACAATACAATACAATGGGAAGGAACTGCATCGTCAATGCACGTTGTCCTCTCGCCGTGGCTTTCATCATACTAACTACGCCCGATGACAGTGGTAACCATCCTTTGTTTCTGGATTCAATTTTCCTACACGCCTTTTTGTTAGTAGTCTGGTATAACCCACTTCATTATTTATTGTGTTTGAGGTTATCAGAGCTTTACAAAATATATAAATAGAGTTCTCTTGATTACTCACATCATGTGTTTTCCTCCCTATGTGATTAACTATATTGTTTGGCTTTTTTTTTACTTTTTGTTTTTAATATTAAATTTTTGTTTAACTTAAGCTTTGGTTTCTTTTAGTTTATCATTATAATTGTCACATGGAATCTCCCTAAATATTAAGTAGCATGTAATTGTAAATTTAAAATATTACTTTGATTTAAGAACAGCGATAAAGGCTTCTATTATTTATTTTATTTTATTTATATTGTTTGGCCCGCAGTTTGCACTTATAAGCTGTCTATGAAAAACACATTTTGTATTTAGATTAATAAGTTTCAATGGATACTGAAACGGCAATATCGGTCTCTACTTCCGGCCGCTTTAAATGTCTTGTCAAATCTTTGTTTCTGATTTCCTTCATTGATGACAGTTAACGTGGATAATATGTGATCTAACAAAAACCCTAGACTGCGCTAAAAATTTAAAAAGCTTAACAAGGATAGCTTCCAGATTCAAAGCTCCGTATTAAAAGTACAGTACGCAGACTGTATGAAGAACCATCTACGGGTGCGGAGTGCTTGAAGCTCATTTTTATCTTACGGTGTTATACAGGCAAGCGGCAACTGGAATTTGCCTAAATAGCGAAGCGAAGTGCTACACATAGACATCCGCAGTTACATTGCCTACACTAATTAACAGAAGGACACACATAAATAGGATATTTCCTTTGCCTTTCTTTGCCAAGTTCACTTCCCCTGCTCACCCTTTCTTTAAACAAAAGGGCGGTAGTTAGGCGTTGGGAAAGTGCGATCTGGTTACATTGTGCTCAGCTGTGATCTGCCTACAGTGTAATATGTTTTGCTTTTTCCTTATTAAGTTTATTTGCTATATATGTATGTTTGCTTATTATGCAGGATGTATATATTTGTGTTAGTGTTATTTTATATGTATTAATTTTCCTTGTGTGTTGTCTAGCTTCTCCTGTCCCACTGGGTTGTCTTTAAGACTACTAACTACTACTAATAATGCCGCCCTTGCACATATTTTGTATTATTACGGTTTAAACGTTTGTATTATTATTTGAAAAAAATATATAATAAACGAGCTGTTGCCCACGACTTCGTCCGCGTGGTATTAGAAAACATACGAACTATATAAATTACAAAAAGCTACGTATCCCTCGGGAACCGGACATTGCTCGGGGATGAAGCTTATCCCATGTGTACTCCAGACTTTGTTTTATATCTGTGCCAAATTTCAATTTGAACCGTTGCAGAATGATCGAGTAAACATTAAAAAACTAAATTAATGAATCCCACGGGAACCGTAACTATTCCCGTGATAAAATGTAGCCTATGTGTTCTACCAGACTATGCTCTAAACCTGTGCCAAATTTCATGGAGATCCGTTCAGCCGTTTAGGCTACAAACGCTAACAAACATCCATCCATCCATCTAAACTTTCGCATTTATAATATTACTAAGATTAGTAAGATAAACAATTGCTCTATTTACGCGTCGGGTCGCATCGCGTAGCGCGTAGTAGCCACCAAGGACAACGAGTACGTTTTATTTATAACAAGTATACATTAGAAGTTAGTTTTGTAGAAGCCTTAATAGACGTAGGTTATTTTGATACGTATTTAATTATCTCTCGCGTGAAGTGATGATGCATTTCTTTATGAAGCTTTATGAATTAGGAGCTATTTGGTTTCTTTTGTCTTATTATATTAATGAAAGTAGTGCTAGTGAGTATATTTCCTAGTTTTCTTTTTTTAATAATCGTGAATTCACTATGTTGGAATTAAGCTAAATTCAATGAAATAACATTTATTCTACATCTGTTTAAGATGATGAAATAGAAAATCATCCTAACCTTAATCTATTACCGAAGGTATGTGGTAACATCAACGAAGACTACACAATATCTGATAAACCACATTTTGAAGAGTTTCCCTGGATGGCTCTGATATTTAACAGTGAATCAGGTATTTATTTTTTTAAACGAAAGCTTGTGAAGATTTTAGTATTCTAATATTTTAAAGTAGTAATTTGTTGGCAGCCAATTGGTAAAAATAATAAAATTTTAGGGTAAAGATACATGTAAGAACGTTTATTTTGTACCTCTTATTAATATTCATTCATACAATTATTTGGCCAATTTAATAGCCTCATAGTAAAGTGACATGTGTGCTTGTAACTGTATCCAACTATATCATCACCAGCTCACTATATGTCCCCACTGAGGGGCTCGGAGCCTACCCTAATATGGGGTGACTAGGCCATAGTCAACCACGCTGGTTGACTAGTTGGGTTGGGTTGGTTGACTTCACATATATCTTTGAATTTCTTCGCCGATATGTGCAGGTTGCATCACAATGTTTTCCTTCACCGTAAGAACGTCGGGTAAATTATGTACATATGAAAATTCGAAAAATCGAAAATCACATTGGTACATGGCGGGATTCGAACCCAAGACCTGTAGGTTACAAGTCAAGTGTTCAAACCACTGAGCCACCGACGCTCTCAACTATATAGGGGATCGAAATAGTACATTTTAAATATTTAAATCAAATTTTAAAATATGGATGTGCAGGGGCTGTGCGATTATGCCAGCTCGTTTCTTAAACACTAAGCGTAGCACTATGAAATTGACATGTCTTTTCAAAGTGAAAAATCCCCCCTTTCCCTATAAAATATTTAAAAAAGGATGTTACAGAAGTTAATGAACTTAATTGCAAATGTGCAGTATATATAACGAGATCGAAAATAAATAAAAATGTTTAGGAGAGCATAGACATGTTTTTGTTTAAATTGTTTTCACAGACAAAGAAGAAAAATTCCTCAGTAGTGGTACCTTAATAAACTCCAGATATGTTCTTACATTGGTTGAATGCACTGATATTGATCACTATAATGCAAGGAGTGTTAGAATTGGAGAATACAATATAAACACTGAAAGTGATTGCGAAGATGAAGGTGGAGATACAATTTGTGCATTGCCCGCGCAGGTGGGTTAACTTTGCGATTTATGTAAACAAACTAGACTAGTACAGATGCAATTTTCTAAACGAGGAAATAATTCTTGACGCTTGTCTTCTGTGTTCTGTGATCTAGCGTTCCATTCGCGAAACAGCTAACGCTTGTATGGATTTCGCCACAAATGAATATAGGTTAACTAGCTGTTTCCATGCGGTATCATCCGCATGACATTATAAAAGCATTGTTTTATTATTATTAAGAAATCCGTAAATCTTTTAATTGTAAATTTCAAAGTTCAAATGGTAATATGACAATGAAGGCCTTTTTTGTGGGGGAAATCTTCAAAAGATGCCCTGCGTTCTGGAGGGAACACAGGGTTATGTAGGTTTTGACCTAGTTAAGCCCCCTCGGTGGTCAACTACGAAGCAATAAAAATACAAGATTGCAATACAAGAGGGTTCCGGGATTTTCTTGGAACGTACCGGATCTTTCTATCTATCGATTTCGTTTGTTTTTTTTAATCATATTTCCATTTTCAGGATATACGCGTACAAAAAGTCGATAGATCTTCTGATTGCCATGAAAATGCATCTTTTTTTACAAACTGCGTAGCTCTATTGCGACTTGAAAAGGCAGTTGACTTCAAAAAACGTAAATATTCATGACTTAATAAAAATACATTTTTGGAACTTAAATTAGCTCAATATATAGGCGAATTCAATAGAAATAATAAATAACAATAAAATTATCTAAACTATTTTACCTTTATGAGGCCTTACCAGAAATGTTTGTCACATCATTTCTAAGATTCTTGAAACTATCTAAGAGAGCGCGCTCACCTTTGTAACTATCGCACAACTGTTGCTTGTATGGTGGTGCATACACTACTCAATTTTTAATTGTGCAACTAAACAGTTGAAATGCCTGTGATACAATCGACAATCGACATTGCACAACAGTTATGCAATAGTTTAGTCCAAGGCGTGGATGAACAACTCACTGTATAACAATAAATATCATTGTAATCCAGTAAAATGTAAATATATTTTTGTCATTTTAACCAGCTTACCATAGATTTTAAACTAGTCGATAGTTTAGTAAGGCGCCTAATCAGTACGAGCGTGTAGAATTTTGTCTTGAAGCCCAACCCGATCAAACTATCGGCAGATGCAAAGTCTGTAATTTAATAGCTTCGTGTTTGTTTGGAAGTTATTTTTTATTCAGAATTGTGTGTGTTTTCAGCTAATGCCGGCGCAATCTGTCTACCCATGGCTAGGGATCTATTAAGTCGTAATCTCTCAGGACTGCGAGGTACGCTCGCCGGTTGGGGACTATCAAATAATCCTAATACTTTGAGAAAGTCAAGTTCCACTGTTGTTTCAGAAGTCAAATGCATGGAATATATCCGGTAATATCCCTTAATACTTTTTTTATATAACAAGATGGCAAAAGAGTGAACGGCCACGTGATTTTTCGCCGAAAGCAAACCGACTGCTGCCTTTAAACATCCGCAATTACAGATGCGATGCCTATCCTTAATTGATGGAGTATTTGGCCTTCTTAAGCGTCTCTTTTACCATCAAATCCAATTTCTCCTACCTATTTCCTTACAAGATAAGGGTGAGTAGGTAAAGGGGTTAAATTAGGCTCCGGCACGCACATACATCTGACGAAATGCGGAACTGCTCCCACTTCACGCTTGTCTTCTGTGTGGTCTTGGTATTGTAACGGGCGAGCCGCGCAATTCGTGCAAAGATGGTAAAGCGGGCACTACCTCTGTAAAAACATTTACATACACGTCCTTACAAAGAGTAAATGCTATGTCTACCATAGGTGTTGCCAGGAGAGAGACTATCTATCCTAGGTCATCGGCTGTCGACGCTCATGGTTTACCCTTTGTAGGCAAAAAGGCAGGCTGATAATAAGGAACATTTACAAAGTCTAAATTTAATGGTAGGGACTGATTTTTAGTAATTACATGTTAACTATTGCTATTTATTTCAGAACAAGAAATGTCGACAAACTACTAAATACAGTATGTGTGAAAAGTTCTAAGCACTTCGAGATTGGAGCACCTCTGATGATCAAAACTGATCACATAGGTTACAAAAGATACACTCAGTACGGAATATTATCGACAGGACTACAAGACAGCGATATTAATATATTTGTAGATATTACCAAATATATGAAATGGATTCTGGATACAATTAAAGTTTGAATTGAGTTAATCGTGAAAATGTGATTTGTGCCTTTTTGTTTGCGACTTCGTTCACGTGAAATCAAGAAATAGTAAAAAACATGGTCATTATTCAGCAATAACATAGCTTTTTTAAGGTGAAGTAATCTTTGAAATCGACCCAGTAGTTTTTGAGTTATTTCATTGTATACAAAAATACAAATCTTTTCTTTTATCATATTAGTATGATAAACACATGTGTATTAACAATAAGTATGGAATGTCTTGTTCCATACGAAAACCTATTTACTACATTTTCAGCTTAATTACTAATCATGGGGACGAGTAAAAATGGCTTTGAGAGAAAAGGACATAACTAATAGCAACAAAAAATAAGGTTGCCATGGTTATTTAAATTCTGAGCAAATAGCAAGGGTCGTCGTTGTAATTTAATTATTTGTAATTAGATAGTTGTTATTGAAAAGTGTACGGAATGCATCCAAAATTCACATTTATCGTATTAGTACAAGGGTGAAGTATGATATTGCGTATTTTTAATACTTCTACATCATGGAGAAGGTCTTTTGGGGTTTATAAGAAATAATTCGCAGAAAAACTACGTATTCTTCGAAGAGGTTTCACCGGATAGGTTGGAAATGTTGAAATCAAAATAAATCACCATTATAAAAAAACGATATTTATCTAGACTTTTATTACCGCATTAAAACTAATCAAATAATTTAACATAAATTCTTATGGCCTGATAGTGTCTAATATCCATTTAATGTACCAGGACACATCGGTATATACTCCGGGGAATAGTGAGCCGCATTTTGTCGGCCCGTGAGAGACGATCCCATGCTGAATGTACTTGTACACATTTTCCACCTCCTCTGCAACCATCAGGGGGCCACCGGAATCTCCCTTGCATGAGTCTTTACCCAGCTCTCCCGCACAAAGTATGGTCTTCGTGATATCTTCTTTAGTGTTTCTGTAAATTGTCGGAAGTGATAATCGGTTGAGTACGATTAGAATCGATTCTTTGACAGGAGTGAGTAGTCTATGTCACTCTGGCGGAACGTCAAACGGGCATCTTGAGAGGCACTATGCCATCTATGGCACGCTCTAGCGTCATTAAGATTGCAGGTTAGCGTCGGATCGCCGATAAAATTTAAAATCCTATTTAATCTGACTTATTGTTAGTTAATTGTTTGTGGTAGAGTAAGAAGTTACTAAATGAGTGTGATACCGACTTATTAATGGAATTATATTACTGCATACCCCACGCCCAATGGATCTAATCTGATGCCGGTATGGAGATAATGGCGACAGAATAAAAAACTAGCTGTAGACATATTGCAAGGGAAGACGGAGGTAATCTCGAAAAACTAGTAGTTATTGGAAAAGTAGAAGGGAAAACGTTGGTTTACCTCCCGTAGTACTGCTTGCAGTTGTCACTGGAACGTACAGGCACTGTAACTTTGAGCAGCACCGAGGACTCTCTATCGTTCTCAGTCAGCCCCCAGCCCGCTACCACGGCCTTCTCGTTGTCGAGATTGCGTTCCCTCAAGCTCGCCGTTGTTGGCAAACAGATCGTACCGTAGTTTTCTAACATAAATAGTTAATTAAAATTTATAAATTTTTTAAAAATACTAATTTATCTTTGGCATATAGCAGTTACTTACTGCGTGAGAGGTCGGCAGGTCTCTTTAATCTAAGTAGCGCAATATCATGACGCACCAATGGCGGCCCTTGGTATGCCGGAAACATGATTTTCTCCGCAACCCCAATGTCCTGTAAATATGATAAAATAAATTTGTGGCCATAGGCCAGAACAGGATATAGTTATGCAGTTTTATTACTATACACGACAAGCAATTAAATTATTAATAAATTTTGAATGTATTTTCTTTTACCTGATAATGAGACTCGCATACGTCGGTGTCCTTTTCGCAATCAACTTTCGTTAAATAATCGTGGTCTCCAATTCTGACGCCGGCAATCTTCTTATCTTTGAGACAGTGAGCCGCCGTTAACACGTACAAGGAGTTTATCAGACTTCCCCCGCAAAGAAACTGTTTGCCTGTACCTGAATTTAATAAAATAAAGAAAATAAGTGTGCGCCACAAACCTTACAATGCTTGATTATTTATTTATCAAGTATTTCTATTGAGGTCTATCAAATAGTGTGCCGTTACCTTCCCTAGTCAGAGTCAGAGTTTCTACACTCGTAAATACAAATAAACTTCCCTAGTAACAATTAAAAAACGAAACAAAACTACTACATTCCACAATTAAATGATTACTTAACAGTTCCTCAGTGTGAATTAAATGTGAGAAATCAACGGGACTGTATACATCAGACTCTTATAGACCATTAAAGTGTGACAGTTTAGATTATTAGTAAAGTGTAAGTTCAACATACGTGTTTGATAAGATATGAGTACCATCCAGGGGAACTCGTACAGTTTAGTAACCTCGCCTCCGACAATCTGGCTGCCCTCTATCTCCCCGCATTCACTGGGTAGTAGTCTCAGGTTCGGATGGTTGTCGATCTCTTCCTGAGAATCCGGGAACGCTGAACAGCATACCTTTCAAACAATAAATTGTAAGATTTTATTGGTGGTAGATGGATTTTTTAACCACAGTTTTTTTTTTATAACATAAGGCAGCAATCGAGCAAGTGGCAGCCTGGATCTGCCGAAATGGCAAAGCAACCGCTGGCCATAGACATCCGTAATTGCAGATGCGTTGCCTACCCTTAATTGACAGACGCATATAAACGTAATGTAAAATTCTCCTTCCTGTGCGTCTTCTTCGCTGTCAAATCCAACAGGGTGGAATGGAATAGGGACTAAAATTAGACCTCCGGCACTACACTTATCAGACAAAACTCGGAATTGCTCCCAGTTGACGCCTGTTTTCTGTGTGGTCGTGATATTTCACTGGGCGAGCCGACCCATTCGTGCGAAGATGTTAAAGCGGGCTCTACGATGACGTTCATATGGTAATTCATATATAAAACCCAGCTTCTTTCATCTAAACGCAAATGAGAAAACATTAGACTTGCGGAAGGACGTTATATGCCTCTGTATTGTTTACCGCATCTACCACTGGAAGTGCTCCGAAGAATTGTTTAGAATAATTCCTGGAGTCAAATTTAGTCGAACTACTCGACAGACCACAAGTACCATCTTCAACACCTTGATGCCTGGCAATCCTCAACCTCGTGGTTTTCTAGAATATTTCTGCCTCGCATAGCTTTGTTGTGCAATGGTCTGTCCTCGGCGGACTTATCATTTTGTTAGAAGTCAGTCGGATAACTCACCTTTGGGATACCGTTGTTATAGTCGGAAGAACAAATGGAATTGTTGATCAGCTGTTGCGTTTGGGTGTTCTTGTGCTTGGCGACTTGGTAGACTGCTGCCGGACACTCGCTTAGCAATTTGCAATCATTGCACGACCCTGGAAGCACGTTCCATCTTATATAGTGTGAGTTAAAGTAAATGCTTTGACTTCTTTTAATAACGATACTGTTAGGAAAATTGACGCGCCTTCTACAAACTGCCCCTTATCACTATTAGAAGCAGTCCGTATTTATCGTTATGATTCGGGCGTATTAAAAGTTTTCAACGAAAGAAGTAAAATCTCGTGTAAATATCATGCAATAATGGGGAAAGGACTAAGTCGTTTCATTATCCTCATCAGTCTAAACTTTTCACTGCACGTATCCAGTGCACTCCCGTAACCTTGACCAGATCGGTTTCTATGATGTAATTATAATGATGTTTTCCGATGCCAGCCATGTCTCAATTTAATTCGTGTTTCTAACCCGTATCTTTAAAAGCCTTAACGCGGGCGTCAAATGTTATTAGCTTTAGATTACTTATTTTTAAACAATAAATATCTATACTAATATATTTTTTTATTTTTGTATGAATTTGATTCACGTTAAAACTACTAGGCCGAATTTTTAAATTCTTTAACTATTTGAAAAGAAATTTATCGTTGTGAAACATAGGCTATGTATTTTTTTTTATTTTATGCGGACGAAGTCGCGAGCACAAGCTAGTAAGTAAATATATTTAAGTACCGGTTACCATTATCCTGTTGCTGCTGTAAATAATCTTACACATTTCAAGTAGCATTTACAAACTATGTACCTACGGTTTTGATTTCCTTACGAGTGTGGGAATTTATTTCAATTCAATGTGTGCCATTGTTTGTCTTGATTGAGGATAAAACTAAATTATCAGAATATGAATCATACTAATATCATAAATGCGAAAGATTAGATGAATGGATGGATGTTAGAGTTTGAAGACGAAATTGCTGAACGGACCTCTATAAAATTTGGCATAGATAATAGTCTGGCAGAACACATAGGCAACTTTCGTAAGCGAAAGCTAGTAATCTAATATGTTGTTATACTAATAGAAATGTTGATTGATTGAAACTTTAAAATCATATAAAAAAAACAGTTTTTTCAAAGAGTTTACAATACGTTTGTACGGATTTTGGAAGAGGAAAATAATAGTGAAAGAGGAAGCGATACAATTTATACAATTTATATATTTTTAATGCAACATTACTTAAACAAGTATTGAAGAACAAAAAATAATCAACGTTAGTAAAAGAGCAGGTCGACTAAGGTTTTTGCAACATTTTCCTGGTCGCCTTGTCTTTATTCGTAAAACCGGTGTGACTTGTTGAGCATCACTCAACTAGATTTTCCGACATTATAATTGTGTGTTTTGATTATTTGAATTAAAATAACTTTATTAGTTTAAGTTATGTTTTTAAGCATTATACTTGTTGCTATGTCGATATCAGAACAATGTTAAAAAAAAACTATTAAAAAAAATATCGTAGTCAAAACAACAAAGTAGTCAAAATAGTGTCATGGTGTAATTAAAAAGTTTAGAACACGTGTTTACGTAATTATTTTCTTTGTTTTAACTCTGAGAGATCGATAAAAATAAAATGAATTGCAAAAATGTCATAGGGCAAGGTAATCCGGTAACTTTAAGAGTTCCTATACTTTTTAAAAAGAAAACGCATTCTAAAGCAAAAAAATCACGCTATTTGAGGGTCGTGTGAGTTAAATTCACACTTCAATTACTAGGTACGCAAGGAGGTACTAAGGTATGCAATTTTTCATTATAATAACAAAACTCAGGTTAGTTGAATAATAAAATAAACGAAAAGATGAAGTAAAAATTCATTTGTTTTATAAAAAAAAAATTACTTACTTGGAACTATTTGGCCACTTGCGAACGCAACTATTAATAATAACAACATACGAAACATTTTTAAACTTGGATATTTTTCTTGTTATCAAAGGTCAATCACGTTGGTCCTCCACGGAAACTCCGCGGCTACTGACGTGCAGGCCACGGCTACCTTCATATTAATTATGTATGTATTTATATGCATGTATATAATGATTAGTCATCATGTGGAATTAAAGCATTAGACCTGCAAATAAGCTAGCGTATTTTTTGGCTTTTAAACATATTGTTTGTCCCATCTATCCATATCTATACTATAACAATAAAGCGTAAACAAACACTACTTTGTTGCCTAATATGTCAGCAATTACAGCATATTTTTGAATAATTCATTTTTAATTAATTATTTAACGGCTTACTCACGTCATACTTTTTCCGGTGATGGCACCGACCATTTTCAGACCCTGCGGGGTCCTTCTTCAGGGTGAGGGTTAAAGATGTTGTATCGCGGTCGAGTCGCGCCTCGCACTGGCAAATAATTAATTATAAAATGTCTCACGAAAGTTTAAATAGTTTAATTCTTTTCAATAAAAAGCCCTACACTTGCGACACGCATTAGACTATATATTTTACGACATTAAACTTAGGGAGTAAATATTTTGAATAAAAACCCTAATGTGGGAAAGAGACCATAAGTTGCTGCCAACATCAAGGAAACTCGGTTGCCATGGTTTGTCATCATGTCATGTCATTTTGACATTTGTAATTGATAATATGACAAATGTAAGCAATAAAATAAAATTTACATAATTTCATGCGTATGAAGTCGCACAGGCACAGCTAGTTAAGTTATAAGTTCGGTGGTGCAGTGAGAGTTTCCCTCGTAAAGGAGAATATTTTTATCCTTTTTCGTAATCTGTTATTTTTACAAGTCCTAGTTTTTCTTTACGTTCCAGATAGAGGTTGTGTCGTGGCCGCTAGAGTGGTTTCAGGCAGAGTAGTTACAGCGGTTTGGTGTCCAGCATTGCGAAATTGGCAGAAAAACCGCGACCAAACTTAAAATGTCAATCAAATCATTATTATTTGCACTACAATTTGGTCTTGAAATCGATAGCTGATCGCTATACGTGAGCCTTTGCCATTTTGGCGGATTCAGGTGACCGCTTGCTCGATTGCCACCTCATTGTGTATAAAAAAAATAAAGCCATCTTTGTGTGCGAGTTTAGTCACAGGTGTCCGCACGCTCTTAGAATTAGGATAACTAGGTATTAATGTATGATTCGTTATTAACAGAAATGCAAAAAGGACATTCCCTATACGAATCGAATTATATTGATGACGAACTAAGACACAGAATGTGCGTAATTGTCAAGTCATACGTAATTACATGTAGCTATATATATATAAGTAGAAGAAATAATATAGCTAATGTGTCATGCATGTACATAAAATGGAAATCCCCAAGCTGTATATTTTCTTTATAAATAATAGAAATAGTTGTGCAAATATTCAGAACTTACACCGACCTATTATTACAATTTTCGATTTTAAAATTTCGGCTATGAAATATTGATGAAATTGCAATAAATGTGCTGAAATTGTCGTTGTTTCTTTTTAAATCAAAGTTTCCTAGTTTATGAAAGTAGCTGTAAGTTTGTAATATCATTTTTTTAATGAAAATGTGAAATCACTGAAACTATTTTAAACTTTTAAGTGACTAGACAGTTGCATTTAAGATTGTTGTCGGCTAATCAAGTATTGGTTAAAAACTATATAAAAAATGTGTCTTAGTCAAGAAAATAAACAGGATAATTAAATGATGAGGTGATCGTTGGGGAATTAGTAACTGCAAATCAACAGATTATCACAACACAATAATTGCTATTTTTCCTTGTGAATTTAAAGGTGTATATTAACCTTGTACTCTTATTCCAAGTTTTTTATTCTTAATTTTAAATCTTGAGTCATTTCTGTTCTATGTTGGCAAAGAAAAGGATTCTATTAATAACTTCTTCGTAATCTACTTTAAAAAAAATGCTATCTTCGGTAAACGTTGCTATTCTTTCTTCTGACGTCTTTATCATTAAAGTTTTGTTTTGTCAGAAAACCCAAAACTGGTAATAGTGATCTTACTGAATTTAATTATCTATTGATGAATAATTTGACGTCAACAACTGCATACACTTTTTAGTAAATAGGGACCATTAATAATCACGTTATTAAATTAACATTATAAATAATTTTTTGATACAATACCTGATAACCTGACTTTTATGATAACCTCGGAAATTGCCCTAAACACCTTTTAGTAAAACATACTTATTGTTCACTGATGAGAAATTGCTATTTTATTTTTAAAGGTGTCTATTTGAATTGCTATTATAATTTTAAAGGTTTACATCATTTCCTAATTTATTTGCAGTACTAAAGTAGAATATATAAATATATTGAATACAATGTTATGTTAATGTTGACTGTTTCAACCTAGCCGTTTATTTTAGTAATACCTGGCCATTATAAAAAAGAGATTGAAACACGCTATGTAAGAAATCATTGCCGATTGAAGGGAAAGGCTGTACCGTTATTTGATTGGTCTTGATTTTTATCTCAGATTAAGGGCAACAGATAAAGTCTAATGCTCGCTTCACCCAACAGACAACAATGTAAACGAACCTTTGAATAGTCTATAGATATAAGAAACCCATTCAGATTTATATTACTCAGAAATTATAAGATTTGTTAACCTCTACTTCTCATAATAAGTCTTCTTGACTTTTAATTCAAGCATTCAATTATAAAATTCGCTTTAATAATCTTTAATGTTAAATCTATCAAAGATTAATGTATTTTTAGATTAATGTGGCAACATAGATTTAAATATAAGCAGAACTTTCTTCAATCTTGTTAAAAGTAAAACACAAACAAGACATTAGAATTTTACACTTTTAGTGTTAAAGCATTAGCTATGCGTAAAATTTTTAAGTGCTTTTTAAACAGTTTCCGTGAGACAAAAGTTGAAGGGCTTTAGACGTATACAAAAGCACCTCTACTGCTCTCATGAGGGACAAATAAAGTTTTTGTCAGTTCAGTTTCAATAAAGAGTAATCCAAATGTAATTTTCTGTTCGTTAACAGTTCATCAAAAGAATGTTTAATTTTGTACAGTCGCGGAAGAACGCGGTGTCCCACTTTAGGAAAAATTGCCTTGTTAATTGCAACAGTACAAACACCTCTTCCTACAAATAACTAAGTAGATATCAGTAAGTGCTTCAAATGAAGGAATAATAATAAAAAAAAACTAGCTTTCTATCACTAACCTACTTTTTTCAAACACGCATTCTTAAGCTGCGTTATATTGATTTTTCGCGTCTCGTTTTAAACAGTTCAAACGCTTTTAAGGTGGACGCCAGATTCTCTGACTGTACCTATTTTTTCCCACCACTGTACCTATATTTTTACCCGACTGACAAAAAGGGTAATGTTTACTCGGGCTATCTAAATCTGTTTTAATGTCTGGGTTTCTATGTATGTAAATTACATTGTGACGGCCTCCAGCCTAAACTTATTTGACGAGTGAGGTTATTCGATTCGTCTGCTTCCCCTGAGTGTTATAAAGTATGTTATATCGGCATGAATCAACCCACAGTCGAGGTGTTTTCAATTATACTAAAGAAACAGTGAGTTCAAATATCACTCGCCGTAACTTTTACATTTCTAAGTATTTTTTCGATGCGTTCGAGTACTTATATTCATTTACTAGAAAATCACAGGGTTTTTTGATTCAAACTTACCATAAAGTTAGTAAATTCTTTTTTTTTTGGTAAAGTAAATTGATATGTCTAATTTATTGCAATCACCTTTCTCAAACATGGTTACATAATCTATACTTCTATACTAATATTATAAAGAGGAAAGATTTGTGTTTTTGTATTTTTGTATTTCTGTATGTATTTAAATAACTCAAAAGCTACTATGCCGATTTCAAAAACTCTTTCACCGTTAGAAAATTAATTTATCTGTGAGTAATATAGGCTATATTTTTTAATTTCACGCGGGCGAAGTCGCGAGCCACAGCTAGTCTTCCATATTTTGAATCAAATACTTCTAAATACTTGAATAGTTTTGCATAAAATGTCATTTTATTTTAACATCATATGCTTAGGAAACATTTAACATTCATAGATAAAGTTCTAAAGCACCATTTAGTTTCCAATACATCGAATTTTTATTCAAAACAACACTCGTAAGTGTGCCTTGATAGAGATATGTAAATGTTGCATTGGTTTGACTGCTGGGACACATTGATACATATTGTCATCCCTTACTATCTGTTTGAAATGAAAAAAGACAACAACACAAGTGCCTATCTAAACCCACAGTAACGCTTTCTCACAAGCTGGTTAATTATCATGCTCCGAATGAGTTTGCGTCTTTAACCTAACTAAAATAATAAAATGTCTATGGGCAGCGGTAACTTCACCAGTTTTGGCGGACTCCACTTTAAAATATAAAAAAAAATAATTCAATACATTTTAAAACTCATACTGCCGCTGATTGGTATTGTGGACGTCAATGTGATTGAAAATGAGATATGGAGGGTAACAATTAGATATTCTACCAATATAGCTGATAGCAGGCAAGATGTCCGCGCGGGATTAAAAAAAAAACTTAATATGTAGTTAGTATGTTTTTCTAGTCTTTGTTTTATATCTGAGACATATTTTACAGATAATAAAATACATCCAAACTTCAGTATTTATGATATTAGTATGCTGTGTGTTTAAGTTTGAAGCATTGATTCTTATTTTTATATAAATGGATAGAAATAATTACGTGGGTGATTCCAGAATAAGATAACTTGTGCGGTTTTACCCATCGCAATGTTACATAATATTTTTTATAGATTAAAAAAAAGAACAATTCGACGTCCTGGCAGGTTTAGGGACAGTCGTGTCAAATAAGTAGAAAGAAGGCAACGTGTTTAAAAATGTTGAAAATGTTAGTGACTCTATTAATTTTGTCACTATCTTCAACTATTACAAGCAGCTTAAGTAAGTAACATTATTTTAATCTTACTAATATTATAAATGCGAAAGTTTAGATGGATGGATGGGTAGACGTTTGTTAGAGTTTGTAGCCTAAACGGCTGAAGGGATCTCGATGAAATTTGGCATAGATGTAGAGGATAGTTTGGAAGAACACATAGGCTACTTTCGTTTGTTTTTTTTTTATTCCGCGCGGACGAAGTCGCGTGCGAAAGCTAGTCTGTAAAACGATACTATTTAGTTAAATATTACTAGTAAATTACAAAGTTGAAAAACGCACCTTATAATGTAAAAAGTCAACCAAAAACAACGATACATTACTATACATTGTGTATTTTAAGTTATAACAATAACTTTAGTTCAAATAATAAATTCATAACCAAACGGAAAAAAGGTAGTTTTTCCTTCGATTTAGCAAAACTTTTAGTTTTATTCATTCATGATCGTAAATTAGTAAACGTAGATTATATTTACAGATGCTTGTGAAAATTGTATTCCCATAACACATTGTGTGAGCGCATCACAATTAGTAGCTCGTGATAGGAGTGAAAAAACAGGACAGATTTTAAGAAAAAATATATGCGGATTCGATTCAAGAGTATCACTACCTAAGGTAAACTTTGAAATGGAAATGTGTTATTACACATTGGCACGGTATCTTTTAGAGCTCGCGCACACCGTTGACTAAACTATCGCACAAGTGTTTACTCTCGCTTTGATTACTATGTGCTTATTATAGAGGTGCCACACTACTAAACAGTTGAAGTGACTACGAAACAATCGACAATCGCACAACAGTTGTGCGATAGTTTAGCTCTAATAGCTTGCGATAAATGTGTTGACATGAAACAACCTCATTTTGACTCCTGATACTTGTAAAAGAGACCTTAGACATCTAGGTATTGCATGTTACCGCCCGGATTTTTGGTGCCTTCTTTCCCACTCTGCTCTAAAGAAAATATTTGAGGACCTATATGCATCCATTTTATTGCGAAAGTAAATAATTATAGTCAAACTTCATTTGTATAGTGCGGTGGGCATGGTCAAAAACTAGATGTCTATGGTCCCTACTAAACGTATCGGAAGTTAAATGGAGGTCCCCAGTTTTTGCAAACGAACCTTCATAAAATGAGTCTACTAGCTCATACTAAAATTATACTGAGCTGATGCTGAATTAAAAATATGCTTTACAGATTTGTTGCAATAATATCAATCAATCAATAGATAATCAAGAAACCGGAGAGGGAACAACAAGCAAACTATCTAATCATCACAATGTTAACCTTTTACCGACGCAGTGCGGTCATATAGTAACGCAAAGACTGCTAGGTGGATACCGCGTGTGGGATAATGAGTTTCCTTGGGTCGTTCGTATCGCGTACAGAAACAGAGGTTAGGTTTTATAAAAATATCCTTATTCTAAAAATATATGTACTGACTTTGATACATATGAATCGAACTTAAGGTGACAGTGAGTAATCTAAGGCCATGCAGTACCTATGTCTACTTTAGACCTCTAGACTACGAGTATGTATGAAAAGACCTTTATTTAACTGCCTTCTAAAAGAAGGAGATTCTCAATTAGTTTCTTTGTTTTAAAGTAATATGACAAAAGAACTGGCCATTTGTAGGTATTTCATTGCTTTAACAAAAGGCATTTTTTTACACTAAAACGATTGGATCAATGTTATAAAGATGCTGCCCAATAAACAGTATTCGGAAAAAGATCCTCACGATTTTTTGGCGAAAGTCCATCGTCACTGTTAAAAAAAAATATAAATCGTTGTATTAATATTGCAGACTCGAATGCATTCCAATGCATGGGAACCCTCATTAATTCACGGTACGTATTGACCACAGCTGATTGTCTCATCGGCAGGCGTATTCTCGGCGTACGAGTCGGTGGTCGTATTCAAAGCCCAGAATGTACAAATATTTGCGAAAGTGACGTTCAGGTAACTAAGATACTCAATTTTTTCATGAATTTTCTCACCAGATCTATTTATTAACTTTACATTTCCCACAGGATATAGGGGTATCAGAACAGATCACTCATCCAGAGTATACAAGCAGTTCAAGAACATTAAACAATATTGGTCTTTTACGTCTTCGAAACCCAGTGGACTTATCGAAAGGTAAAATAAATTAAACTAACGACATCTAGAAATAATTCTTAGGTGAATTTGTCAGTAATCCCATGGGCATCGTCAGTCGATGGTCTGGTGGGGAAAACGCTATCATTAATATGATCTTGTTCGAAGTAGTAGATTCCCTAGTGAGAGGGCAGCTGCCACCCCTCCCTCGATGCCCATGAACAAATGAACAAGCCTTCTAGCATCTAGGGTGTCCCCTACCCAGTGTTTCAAAGATAATTGTAAAAAAATATATCGTTTACTATTTTTAGAAAACGCTGGTGTAATTTGCTTACCAGTTACGGATGAACACAGACTTAAGAATGTTACGGGTTCCACTGGTGCAGTATCGTATTGGGACGAAAATGGAAGTGAACTCCAATTCAGATATCATGCAACAATTTCTACTACCGAAGAATGTGATCTCTATGTAAATAAGTGAGTATTACGCGTACAAAAACATATTCATCTCTTTTTCTCCGTAGATGCATTAATGTAGAAGAAGTGAGAGGGGTGTCAGGATCAAGCCAAATGGAGAACCATGGTCTCTGCCTGATCCTCTGGGTTACGGGCGTGAGTTATGTCGTTGTAGCTGGTTGTCCCTTTTTTTAGAAAGAAACTCTATGAAGAGTTTAAAGGAGATGACAATAAGTTGGGCGTTTGTGAATAAATATCCCACGCTTCACTAATGTTTTACGATACGTTGTTATTAAATTATTTCAAATTCATTTATTTAATTTTTATTTTTATTCTTTGATTCACATTAAGGAATACATATAGTTTGTGTGCAATTCATCGTAGCTAATCTAAGGGTTAGTGTTACCGAGGTTCCGAGATGTATGTAAGGTGACGTATTTTACGGCGAACATTCTTGCAGTCAATACGCGGCGGTACGGGGATACCAGCGAGCAACGAGTCTATACGAATGTTACATTAAACTTGTAACATCGTTGGGTACCAAGCGTTATGTGTAAATCAATTTAAAAAAAAAAAAATATTTCGTTTCAGGAATAGAAACTATCGAAGAGATTTGGCAAAGAACAGCATATGTACAGTAATAGTTAATAACCACCGCTGCGAGTCCGTCCCTGGAGCGCCTCTGATGCTTATAGGTTCAGATCCCGACTCTTATAGTTACTATCAATATGGTATTTTGAACACAGCGAAGTCTGAATGCGGCCCAGAAATCTATACAGATGTTCGAAAATATATGACGTGGATATTGGACACGATCAAGTCTTAGACCAGAGTTCCCCAAACTTTTTGTGTCGTAGACCCCTTGCCATGTCTTTCCGTGTTGGGTAGACCCCTACTTACCTACCTGATATTCATTTCCTGGAAATTTCTAACTGTAGTGAAGTTTAGGGTGGGTTGCATCATATCGCCGGTTATCGTAAAAGTTATAGTTATAGTTAATAGGGTTACAAGTGCAAAAACATATTTTCACAGAGGTTTTATGTGTTTTTCGTTTTTACAATGGAAACATTTAAACCTGAATGTCACTAAAGTGTCAAGTTGGTGTCAAGAATGACATTTACGCAAATTAAAATGTTTGGAAATACATGTTTCGCCAATTATGTTTATGTATCATACGCATGGTATTTTATAGTGACATAAACTTTTTGCCCACGGAGATGGAGAAAATGGCAAACTCTTGTGAAAATAAACTAGTTTGGGCCATTTTTGAAACTATATTTACTTTACTACTCAAATATGTAGCGCCAAAAATGAAGCAATAAAATTATACAAATATAAATGAATATTATTTATTTGCCATATTATAAATTGTCCTGTCAATGCATATTACAAATTGTCCTTTTATGGAGGACATTTTTTAAATAAGAGAAAAGGGACAAGCGCTGTTGCTATAGCTTTAGACACTCGAAATTTGTCTAAACTGAATGTTTGGCCAAATTTCGATTTCCATCTTGGAAATCCATTATTTCCGAGCACGCAAGACTTTATTCTTCTGGATTACGTATAGGATAATAGTAGAGATTTTCTTTTTCCTTTACTTTTTCCATTATTTGTACTTCTGAAGATAAGAGCTTGTGACAGTTGACACTACCGAACTGACACTAACCGTAACGCTAACTATAACCGACCAAAATCGGGCGGTTATGATTAGTGTCAAATATGACGTCATTTTGACCAGCGCAAAACTGGTATAGCGAATATCATGGACATCCGTAGACGTAACCATCGGGAATGTGCTGGTTAAGGTTTACAGTTAGTTAATGTAACTCACCCTTAGTAAATTTTAAGGTTATTTCAAATATTACCATTACAAATAATTTTAACTTTAACGGTAACCGGCGATATGGTGCAACTCACCCTTAGTGTTAAAAACTTAAAGTAAAAAGACATGTTAATTAATACATTTATTAATTAAATTTAAAATAAGTAATGTATATGTTTTGATATTATAAGATATTATGATGTAAGTAAATAGGTACTATCAGTGTATGTGTTGAGATCCAATATCTTGGACCCACATTTTCATTTCATGGACACCCACATTTTTTCTTGCTGACGTAGCCCCTTGCAGGTTGTCATAGACCCCTAAGGGTCGATATAGACCACTTTGGGAATCACTGTCTTAGACAGACACATTTCGATTTTCTATCCGTGAAATTCCGCTGTAGCACCCTTGTTGTTGTCACTTTTATTAAAACTGAAACAATTGGATGTCAATACATTTTAAACATATGTTCCAATCGTGGAAACACACGTACGGCCGAATACTGAAAGGACATTTTAATATGCTTGAACCCCAAATTCAGCTAAGCGATGCAAGTGTTAAGATTCCTTCTAGTATTCGGTGGAATAATAAATTGATGTAAGAGTTTTTAATTTTAGTTACAAATAAAACTGTAATTCGTCATACGTCTTTTTTAATTTATTGTAATCAACTACTTATTTTAGACTAGCTGGTATTGTTAGAATTAATTGTCATAAAACCTGAAATAGGTTAAGTTCACACACTATGTTAAATTTGTCAAAAAATCGCGCTGGGTTCTAAAACACGATATGAAAGGGTCGACGTATGATCAAGCTACAATGTGTTTGAAACACTATGTAAGGTTTTTATAGTAAATCACACAGTGTTTCAAAAACGGTACATTTTCTTTCGTGTTAAATACCAAGATAAGAAATTGTACCTGTTTTTATGACCCGTTAAAAGTAAAGTAATAAAAAAGAGGTTGGAAAGCCAGAAAACAATCAAAATTCGGGTTATAAGAAATTTGTTCAGTTAAGACTGTGGAGATCTTAAATTAAACCTGAACCCACCTTTCACCCTTCTTAACACTTAGATTAGTACTGTTTCGATGTAACTCAAGTGCAGTGCAATAAACATTACTTGCAGTAAATTGTTGAATAAGACAAAGGCGCCGCGGAGACGCCCTGGCTATTTACAGCCGCAGGAATTAGCAGCTATTGTGATTATCTCGCTCGCATAGTTGGTATAACTTATTACCAGTACTTACAAGATATGAGATAATCTATTTCCAAGAATCTGTTATAAAATAGGCCGTTATTGATATGTGCCGATAAACATTGGTGTTACTTTGTTATATACCATACACCGTACCGAAACATAAACCGTAAAACCAAAAGGCTTTTTGACGTTTAACTTTCTACACGCTCTCAATTTTATCTGAACATTCGTATTCAGATAAATCTAACAAAACTATGAACTGTTCAGTTATCAGTATTACCTATGTTAGGTTTATTTGAACCATCCAACTGTTATATTAAAAAAAAGATGTTTAGCACTGTAAGAGGCGCTGCTATCCGTTGATTATGTTGCAAAATATCTAACTTACATGGACATCATGCAAAAATCATTTACTAATGTTTGCCGGCTCTAATAGTTTGTCGGTCTATAAATGCAACTAGTTTCGGCGTTATCTGTCTTTAATGGAATACAGTGCAATGTTAAATAGTACAATAATAGATAGTTTTCGAGTTTATTTCTTACATACAAAAGTATAAACCTTTCCTCTTTGTTATTAGTAAGGTATAATATATTCAGTGAAAGTGTAACCGTGAATCCAGACGCGTTTCCTCTATTTGTGTTGCCTAATGCGGTATGAAACATCTCTATTGTGAGATTTGGGTGTTGATGTTTATCATGAAACCTTAATTCTTTGTTTGATATGTCTTCACGCGTCGAGTGTGGCCGCGCATTGATTGTTTGTATAACTATTTCTAATGCATTGCATTTAGTATGATGGTTGTAATCCGAAAATAGATGTTTAAATAAACTTTTTCCTCACGGTATGTAAAGTGTTAAGTTTATATAAGTAAAAAAAATATTCATAACTGACTTTATTTTTTAATTTAGAATACTGCAAATGTAAAATTATTCTAGGATTGGATCACAACTGCCTTTAGTAAAGGATTTTCCTACAGGAAAACATATTATTTTCTCTCTATCAAAGAGAAGGACATGATAAATGTTTTTGTATTACTTTTATAATGAAAACTTATGATGAGCTCTGGCAAAACCATTTTAAGTTTACTGAAAAATCTATATGTCTGTCTATAAGTTGCTTTGCCTCACGCATTAAGTTGGATGATGAATTCTCGTGCTGAGATGCTGTTAAATGTTGCAAAAAAAGCCTTTAAAACTTATGTCGACATTAATACATCGTCATAAAATATATTTTTATATAACCGGTTCTTGACAACATTGTGATTGGTGTTACAAATTCAGTAAGTTACGGACCACCGCAGTGAGAGGACGTGTCATATTGAGATTTTTCCCGCGTATTTTTCGTTCAGAATTAACAACAGATAAAATATTCAAGAATATAAAATAATTCGCTTCTGTGTCTGTTTCGAAATATTTTTGTGACAAAGGTCATTTAAGTTATAATTAAGTGACTGTGATAATAAAATTGTGTTAATATTTTATGTGAATATCTATAGTTTTAAAAGTTGATGGAATAAAAACCTCAAATTTGTACAGAATGTAAGTAAAATTAACATTAACTTGTGTATTTTCGCATTTTATTCAGACGTAGTACCAAATTTCATTTCAATTTATTTGATTTAACATCTTTCATATTTTGCTTTTGTACAGCCATTATAAGCAAATTGGTAGGCCAAATTGGATTGAAGATGAAGAAGTCAAAATTGACATCTAACCTAGAATTTTGCTCATTTAACGCGTTTCCTGCGTAACAGGTCGATATCAGCCTGACGCGGTACTTAAGCTGGTGCGGACGAAAAAAACTATGTCCCTCTCGCTGGTGCGTTATTTCAGGTGTATACATTACATTACATAAAATGTATGCATTATGTTTCCACAAAATGTACCAATTTATTGTATCCTAGTGCTGGTGGGTCTAGAAAGACCTGCCACGCACTCATGGAAATGTCATTGGGGGCGCATTTTGGCTCGCCGTCGCAACAGATGACGAATGATGATTTTATTTACCGCAGTAAAGGTGTTAATTAAGCATAAAAATATAAGAGAAAGAGAGCTTTATTAATCACGATAAATTTAAATTCAATATATTTCAATGTAACATTTTACGAAAAAAATCCTGTTCGTTTAGAATTTATGTAAATTAAAAGGATTGATTGCGAAATTACTAATAATATTCAGTAGAAATAAAATATTGAAATGTAAGCATTGAATATCTCTCTCTCTATTTAATATAACTGTTATGGAACATCTCCGTTTGGAGCCGTTAAGTTGTTAAAAAACGATCCGGATGTTAGATTAGTCACAGAGATCCGTGCAGTACCGGTATCTGTAGATCATTCACGTCGGTTTCCATTGCCGAAAACATTAAAAATAAACGTTACTAATAATAATAGATAATGTTTTTACTTTATTTGAATATTTTGACAACGGTAGAATTGTGTTTTTAGTTATATTTTTTGTTGATTGTAAGTTCTAACTTCGGTGAGTCTTCGGTCTCACTTCGGTCAAGAGCATCATGGCTCAGTGGTTTAGGCACTTGACTTGTAATCTACAGGTCTTGGGTTCGAATCACGCCATGTACCAATGTGATTTTCGATTTTTAATATGTACATAATTTACCGTACGTTCTTACGGTGAAGGAAAACATCGTGATGCAACGTGCACATATCGGCGAAGAAATTCAAAGATATGTGTGAAGTCAACCAACCCGCACTGGGCCAGCGTGGTTGACTATGGCCTAGTCACCTTTACTTAGAGTAGGCTCCGAGCCTCTCAGTGGGCACGTATAGTGAGCTGGTGATGAAGTTCAAACTTCAGAGTAACTTAAAAGAATCATTTGGATTGTAATGTAAATTTTTTAGATACTTGTTAAAGAGATTCAAATGTATAGAGGAGGACACTTCTCTTGGAACATTTTTGACATAATCATCACTAACGCTATTTGTTGATACTCAAAACCACATGTCAACGTATTTAATTATATTTAAATTTATTGCCAATCAGTGTCATTTAATAATATTTAAATGAAAATAAGATGTTTTATTACATGTCAATACAAGGACAAAGGTATCACTAAGCTTGACAACTATAGTACCTTTCAAAGGAAGTACCGGTGAAAAATTTTTGTTGACTATGCCCAATCTAAATGTCTTTGATTATCGTTCTACTTGTACAATTATTGCCAAATAGGCACTTGATAGTTTATTTTGTAAGTATCAAAACATATTGTTCCATGCGTAGGTGTCTCTAATTTTGCAACTGCATTAACAACATTTTTATAAAGATTAATAACCTCACATTAATCGCATCTACAAAAAAGTTGTCTATTTAACTTGTCTCAACTAACACGTTTGCATTAACATCGACACATCAAATAAACATGCGATATCTCTTAAGTAAAGATAAAAAGCATTCAAAATAACCTGTGGACTATAATTATTAGATAGATTTTACGAAGAAAAACGACACTGAAATTTTAGATACTGTTATAATTATTTTGTTTTCTACAAACAGATTAAAAATAAATCGGAAGAATCTTACGAGAGACGGATTTATTACTTTTACATATTCAAAAGTATTGTATTATAAAGAATACGAAGAGAGAAGACAGTAGCATGGATGGACCGTAGAATGCGCGTCTTAGGGGCGCTAATATTTTTAACAATCGTCTCTCCTGCCCTCGCCTTTGTCGCTGGAGCTGATGGTAAGTCCTATCTCTATAAACTTACTGAAATTTTAAAGAGGAGAAATTTATATTTTTGTATGTATTAAAATAACTCAACTAGTGGGTCAATTTCAAAAATTCTTTCATCAATAAATAGCTACGTTATCACTGAGTAACGTAAGCTACATTTATTACTGTAAATATCACGGGTAAGTCGCAAGCAACAGCTACTTATTCATAATTCGTAAACTTGCTTTTCCACTGATCATAATAGTGTGTTTAAACGCGTTTTAATGTAATAACATAATTAATTTAGCGCCAATAGCCTAATGGTTTGGAGTACCGATCTTGCGGTCGAGAGTTCGAATCCTATCATTCGAGTATTGGCGTGAACCATATTCAAGCACAAGCCTAGAGCTTAGTTGGAGTGGTTAAAGGAAATATTATTATAATTAACAAAATTCTACTTATACTTTATTAAAAAATAAATATTAAACGGTTCCATTGCATTGCAACTCTACTATTGTACACCCCCGTGCACAACCCGTGTTTTCTTTGTGTTTTATGATGTTAGTGGTTAATTAACTCATTCAATGTATTCTCTTCTAAAGGGCCAGTGTTGTTTCAAGAGGCCTTGGAGAATGGGGTGTCAACGCTTATTTGTGACTCAAGCCCGGACACGACGGAGGATGAAATCATGCTCCTTGTATGGTACAAAGATAATGAATCAATTTATAGGTAAAAAATCTTTAACATAAGTGCTGAACTATTGTAACAAAATTATAATGAGTAACGACATAAACGAGATCAACAAGATGAGAATAGCAATTCAAAGATTAGTTGACTTCAAGAGCGGACGCACACCATCGACTAACAATCGCTGAAAAATCAAAGGTGTGCGAGCGCTTTAAAGATATATCAAATGTTTTTAAATAGACGGATGTCAAACGTAAAAAGTTTTAATGTTTAGCCCTTTTGCTTTTTTTAATGTTTACCTTTTAAGGCAAGGGCTTCTGTTTTTATGATACGCTATTTAATGAAACTTGAGTTAACATATTCCATGTTTAATGATTTAATTTTGTATTCATATGTAAAATGTGTTATTGTTATGTAAATTTCATACCTCAGAGAGTTAGAAACAACGAATAGAGATAAACATTGTAAACAAGCTAATAGTTATCTTAAATAATCTTTGATGAAAATGATTTCGTTGATGTCATAGAGTTAAAACTTATTCATTTAATATGTTTGGATAAAGTAAAAGAGATTTTATGTTCTGGGCAGTTGAAACTAAATTGATTATTTTTCTGTTGTAGTTATGACGCTCGCGTGGGAACAGAATGGTGTAACATTGGTTTCAATGCCAGCGGTCGAGTGATCGCTAATATGTCTTCAAATCCTACGACACTGACCATCTCAGCTCTGAGAGATGATGATCAAGCCTTGTATCATTGTAGAGTGGAATTCCTTTTGTCGCCAACAAGAAATACTGGCGTAAACTTAACTGTTATTGGTAATTATTTGTTGCTAGTTACGTAGAATGAAAAACTGAATTTCAATGAATATTCAACATTTAGTATTTGATGAAGTAATTTATGTTTCTTTTCAGTTCTTCCAAGTGAACCTTTCTTTCTGGACGAATTAGGTAACACTGTTACCAATAAAACTAGACCTTATTACGAAGGAGATACGCTAGTATTGACCTGTCTAGTTATTGGAGGTATTATTCATATTATTAATCTAAAATCTATATCTAATAATTTTTATGAGAAATCTCAAGTTGTAACAGTTTCTTCGGATGTCGATTAATTTTCAATAGTGGTAGAGCCTGATTTAACATCTTTGCAAGAATATACTGGTTTGCTCTCAGCAATACCACGACCACACAGAAAAACATCAATGGCAGCAATTCCGCGTTTCTTCAAATGAGTGTGCGTGCCGGAGGCCTAATTGATTTAAATTAGGCATTAGGCTCTTCCCCTTTCCATCCTTTTCGTACTACGAAAGATAACAAAGAAGACTTTTGGAAAGAAAGCGAGTAGTTGAAATATCCTCTTTAAAGGTAAACGCATGCAAAAGCGAATATCTATAGTCAGTGGGCGCTTTATTATTTAGGATAGTCCGTTGGCCGCTTCCTAGTTTGTCACTTTATACTATATAAAAATATAATAAAAAATGTAATATGTAAAAATATATAGGTATATATAAGAATTCTGTTCCAGGACGACCAGCGCCGAAAATAACTTGGTATTCCGGTGATAACTTAGTCGATGCAACATATAGTGTAAGTGACATACCGAACGTACGACAAAACGAATTATATCTGCCACTTACCCGTGATAATGCGGATACCCTATCTTGTAGAGCTACCAATACACATTTAGTGAAGCCATTAAAAGCTAGTCTACAGATAGAATTATACTGTAAGTATAGATACATCTTACATATATGAAAATGTTGGTACTAACATTGCATAAATGACAACCTTGCTTCCATGTTGGCAGCTTGTAGTTTATGATACTTTTCCCACATAAAGGTGTTTTTCTAATTTACTTACCCCTAAGTTTAATAGCGTGAAAATGTACATATAGCCTAAAGCGTGTCGAAAAGTGTAGCTTTTTATTTAAGATCTGTGTGTGTTTTCGCTTTGTTATATTAGTATACATATAAATTCAAGTAAACAACCGCTAAAGTAGATATTATATTTTAATGCAAAAGTGTTGACAGTGTTAACCAACTTTAATCTTGTCAATGTTTTTAGTGCCGGCTAACAATGTAACTGTTGAATGGATTCAAGGAACTTCAAACGGTATTCGATCAGGAGATACAGTTGTAGTGCAGTGCATCGCATATGGTTCATACCCGATTCCTGACTTAACATGGTTTCTGAACCAAAAACGCCTATCGCACCATAGTAATCAGGTAGTTACCGGTTAGTCCTAACCTACATTTTGAATTCCAATCTTAGTTGTTTTTTCTTGTAAAATATCGAAGGGCCTGTCCCACCACTGGCTGATAGAATCTCAGCTAGCTTAAAAATGACGTTAAGGTTGCAAAATCCAATTTTCATTACATATTTTGCTGGATTATTATCAGACAATTTACAATTTGGTGGGACAGACCCTAAGTCTAATAGGTTACCTTCTCTATGGCAAGTAGAGATAACGTTACAAAATTGAGTAGGTAAATTAAAATCAACTTTTAGACATGGAATGAAACTCTCCAAGCAGTAACTTCTCGTATAGAATTAACACCAAATAGATTGGACAATAATGGTAATATAACATGCGAAGCGAAAAACCCAGTAATGCCCGCTGGAAGAAACTCAAAATCTGCTGCCGTTAGATTGAACGTAACATGTAAGTAATTTTTCCTTACTAAAGAATTTCATTAAAGTGATACATGTACTGTAGTTGTAAGATATCTCGATGGCTCCTAACTTCGCGGGAGTCGTTTCGCAGAACAGAATTTGAGATGTATCGGGATACGGGATACCCTCGGGTATTGTACAGCGCGCTGATGACCTCTGGCAGTCAAGATATTTGAAAAGACCACAATTAGTGGTATCTGTTTTGCTAAATAGAAGACAGCAGGAATAACAGGTGTCGCAGTGTAATTTTACGATCACTTTTCAGTAATTTTTAATAATCATTTTTTTTTACAGTTGCACCAGTAGTACATGTAAAATTTGATGACGGAAGAAATGAAGTTATTGAACTTGACACATTAATATTGAAATGTAAGGTTGAAGCAAATCCACCAGCAAATAAACTATTTTGGTATTACAATGTAAGTTACTTTAAAATTTGTTTATTATGAAGTTTTGGTGTATTTTACATATAGTTTGAAATATATTCAATCAGGATATGGAAATAAAAGAAGACGGTATTCGAGGCATCCGGATTTCTACAAATGATTTAATTATCGATGAAGTACGACGAAGTAATTGTGGTCGATACTCCTGTGCAGCAAGAAATAACATCGGCGAAACAAAAGCGGATCCCATCAATATAAATGTTCTTTGTAAGTTATCCTCTCTTAGGCGAGCACGTATAACATTTCTACAATATTGATCTTGTTCTATATTCTACCTCGACTAACAAAAAAAATTATATTAAGCAGTTACAATATGATTTACCGAAGCATTTTTTTAGATCCACCAGCATGCACAAAAACAGGTATTATTATTAAGAAAGAAACTTTAATATGCAATGTAAAAGCCCTACCTCCTCCTGATACTTACTTGTGGCATATCAACCAAGTGGAATATGATGCCCAACATTTGACTACGGGATCAAATATATTATCTCTTGAACAAGTTGCTGGACCTTTTTCGGAAAGTCTAAACGTTAGCTGTGAAGCTGACAATGGTGTAGCGTCTCAGGACAAATCTTGTAATAAAGTCATTGGAATAGGACATTTAAGACCACAACAGCCACAACAATGTGATCTTGCGTTTGAATATAAGGAGTTTCAAATAAGATGTCTACCAGGTACAGGAAATCATAGATAAAGAATTACACAGCATGAATTTAAATACTTGAAATTAGTTTGTTATAGTCGTTTGATTGTAAATTTCTTTAACTTTTTGCAGTTGAAAACGCCACGTATTACGAACTATCGTTGTGGAGATTATCGACGACGAATACTTCGTTAGTGTTAGATAAAAAGCGATCTCTGGAAGTTGGTAACAGTTTAGCTCTGATGCAAAACGAAGAGCCGTGGCTAGTTCGAGGGGAACTGGGTCTGCTGAAGGCCGGCGATGAGGCTGGTGCAGCAGCGTGCAATAGATATGGATGTTCAGCAGCGCTGCTGTTGAGGCCTACGGAAGGTCTATTGAGTGCTGCTATACCACCCTGGTGGAAATGTATGTATACGTAATCATTGTCTAAAACAAAAGAATTCTTTTAAGGGCGTGCGCACACCTTTATTTAAATGTGTGCGATTGTCAATTGTTTCGCAGCCAATTCCACTGTTTAGTTGTACAACTAAAAATCGAGTAGTGTGCGCTCCTCCATGTCTGAATACTAACTGAAAAGTTACCTGATTTAAATAATTGTTTCTTCGCAGCCCATGTTGTATTTTTGGTCTCTACCCGTAGGTGCCTACACATTGAGCTTAATTTATCGTAGACACTATTATATTATTCATAATGTATAATTAAACTAGTTTTAGATTTTACAGCATTTAATTAAAATAAATTTACATCTGCAATCTTAGATGCGTAATATACTTCATGGTCGGGAGATTCTAATTTTAAATAAAAAAACTGGTTAATGTAGAAATACAATATGAGCATCTTTTCGAATGAAAATGTGTTATTTATTTCAGTATTTACGGAGAGAGACATTGGAATATCGATAGGCGTGCTCTTGTTGGTGGTGATGTTTGTCTGTTCGACGTTGTTGGCCGTACGCTTGGCCAGGAGGTCCCGGACGAAGGCGCCTGTGCCTGTTATACAAGTGCTGCAACTCGATGACGTCACCCGAGATTATCTCAGTCGAACTAGCGGTAAGTTACGTCACTAGACCTGAATCAGTATTTAGGAATAAGGTTTTTCATCGATTCATTTAATTATAATAATTTTGTAACACCCTGTAATCATACTAATATTATAAATGCGAAAGTTTGGATGGATGGATGTATGTTTGTTAGAGTTTGTAGCCTAAACAATGAACGGATTTCGATGAAATTTGGTCTAGATGTAGAGGAAAGTCTGCAAGAACACATATGCTACTCACTTCTGTTTATTTTAATTCCACGCGGACGAAGTCGCGGGCGAAAGCTCTTACGAATGTATTTTTAAATCTTATTAATTTAAGTTTGTTGTGTGAGAGATAGGAAAGGGGAGGGAATGGTAAGAACAATTGTAGTAACTTATTTTTGTATAGCACTTGTCTATAGATATCCTATCCTTTCTTAGACATCCATGGTCTTCCGCCGTGCAGTCTACGATCGAATAGCAGTGAATATTCTGATGACGATAGTCCGTCATTCGCGGATTGTCATTGTCCCCACATACCACAAGACTGGATACCCCCGCCTGACGTCACATTAACTTTACAAAGAGAAAGTGCCGTGTAGAAGGGGTAATTTAATAGTATAATCTAGAAATTACTTCAGTGACATGTTTTTTTTACAGTCAACAGTATTATAGTTAAAATAATGGAACAATTGAGAAATATAAAAAGCATTTTTACTGAATTATTTGAAACTTTGTTTTGGATAATTTTATGAAAACAATAAATGTAGTATTTAAATGGTTGTTTTATTTTGAACATCCTGTTGTGATAGATATATCCCAAAATGGGCCAATCTACAGAATTTGTTGAAAATCCACTAGAAGAGGACTATAAAAGATAAAAACGTGTTTGTATAATTTCAAAGTTAAAATATTTCTTAAAAAAAATTAACATACATTATAAACTTATTTAATATACACAAAATAAATTAAAAAGTATTCACAGAATGCTATAATGTTTCAAGGTCAATGAATCCTGCATTTACTTTAACGAATATAATTTAAGCGCGTGTTTCCATTTTAGAAAATACTGAATTATCTCGCCACTCCCTCTTATAGACTTTGAAAAAGTGAGACAACACTACAACAGTCAACAATAACAGTTGCTCGAAGCAACACTATGATTTGTAACAATTGTTTCGATAATTGAAATAGCACGGGAATAACTAAGCGTGATTTTGGGCTTAGTTCTTACGGAGATTGATTTATTTCACTTTTAAATAAAAAAATTTAGTTACTTAATTACATTTATTTTAATATTTAAAACAAATATGATTAATTCACATAAAAAAAATACTTGATTTGTTATTAATTACCCGGGACTTTGAATTTGAAATTAAAAAGTTATTTTAAAATCCACTAAATTTCGCAACCGGTGCCTCGTTGACTTACCAACGTTTAGCTAGAAATCCATAATGTATGAACTAAAAGTAGGTACAAGAATGTCTACTGTTACACGCATTTTAGCGGCACGTAACAAGTTTGCGAACCATTTACGAAACATAAATCATATTTAAACAAATTGCACAATAAATCGAGACACATAAAAATCGTAACCGCTAGGAATTTCTTACTAATGTAAGTAAGGAGAAATTGGATTGTTTCTTTAAGACAACAAACCGCTCTAGTAATTTAAAAAAAATCATGAAAAACAACTATTTGTTCTCAAAACCGTATTTAACTTATAAATACCTACTGCTGGATTACAATCTATACATCTATACTATTATAATAAATTGTAAACACACACTTCTTTGTTGCCTAAGATGTCAGCAATTACAGCATATTTTTGAATAATTCTTGTATTAATAAAAAGCCCTACACGTTCATCATACTTTAGGCTATATATTTCACGCCATTAAACTTAGGAGGTAAATATTTTGGATAAAAACCCTAATGTGGGAAAGAGACCATAAGTTGCTGCCAACAATAAGAAAGCAAGATTGCCAAAGTTTGCCATGTCATGTCATTTTGACATTTGCAATTGATAATTTGTCACATGGAAAAAATAAAATATAGTTTTAATAAGTTTATGCGGATAAAATCGCACAGGAACTGCTAGTGTATACTAATATTATAAAGAGGAAAGATTTGTATTTTTGTATGCATTGAAATTACTCCAAAACTACTGGGCCGATTTAAAATATTAGCCATCAATAAATTTCTACGTTAACGCTGAGTAACAAAAGCCATGTTTATTAAAAAAATATTACAGCGCGGACGGAGACGCGAGCAATAACTAGTTCATTAAAACGCATTTTCCAAGTTGTTCTTACAATCGTTTTATTCTTGGAAGAACACAATTTGTAATCTTTTATTTCTTAAAGTAGTTCGAAATGTGTTTGTTTATTTCGATGCAGTTGCTTTGAGCTTCTAAGAGAAGCCATGACGAATGTCCACGTTAAAAACTTTGAGAGACAAACGATTGAGGTACATAAGTTCTGTTGACCTAATAGTGTCGGTGTTCAGTATTTATTAAGGTTCTTTGATGTTGTCGTGTTTCAATTTGAACTAAATAGAGTTGATTTTGCCTTGTGCAAACCCAAAAGAAAGATTTGGTACTAAAGAAAAGTGCGAGTAGTTTTGAACCAGGATGTCGTAGATAGAGCGAAGCGTAGGAAATTGAGAAGGAAAGCTGACTCCACTACCGTATGGAATACAGGATAGAAAGAGAGAAGGAGAGAGGGAGAAAGAGAAAGTTGCTTAGGTCTCTACGTTCTTAGGGTGAAAGAAGATCGTGATGGAAACTATACTAGGCCAGCTCCACTAAAGCCTAGTCACTAATTTAAAATAGTCTTAAACTGTAATAATTAAGTACATAGTATGAAAATAAAAAATCCTAACAAGTAATATTTCATCCTAATAACTAATAAATGACATCGTCAATCCATTTCTAATAATATAAGTTTTATTATCTCGTATATTATTAATTATTTTGGCCACACGCAGCCAGATAACCGTTTACTTTTAATTATTAATGTGATCGTAAAACGGCCTATAACAATATTTATGACAAAATCATTCGCCTGCAGCGTTATTACTTTCTATTGGTATTTAACTACTTTATTCCATAAACTAAGGAATTTGTTGTTTTCCGTTTATGGTAGTTTTATTTGTTGTCATTTAATAAGAACAGTAAAACACTAACTTAGTGATGATATCTCATAATCCGAAGTAAGATACTCTCTTAGTGACTTAAATACTCTGGGTGCTGCAATTATCTATACTATTATAATAAAGCGTAAACACACAATTCTTTGTTGCCTAAGATGTCAGCAATTACAGCATATTTTTAGAAAATCCTTTTTTTGATAAAAAAAGACCTACAGTTACATTACATACATAAACATTTTTGATAAAACCCCTAATGAGGGAAAGAGACCATAATTTGCTGCCAACATAAAGAAGCAAGACTGTCAAGGTTTGTCAGGTCATGTCATTTTGACATTTGCTATTGATAATTTGACAAATGTAAACAATTAAATAAAATTTTCACAAACATTTTAACATAAAAAGCGGGCGCACACCTTTGATTAAACAATCACACAAAAGTTGTGTGATTGTCGATTGTTTCGCGGCCAACTTAACTGTTGGCAACTAAAAATCGAGTAGTGTTTGCACCTCCATATAAGATCATAGGAAGAAGACTAAACAATTGTACGATATTTTAGTTTCAGGTGTGCGCATGCTCTAAATATAGAATTTACAAATTACTAGTGTAGCATAAATTATGTGCAATTTAGTTTTCCGAACCGTAGAACAACGAGAAACAGATTTTAGCGCAAGGAATGTGCCGCAATAACACAAAGATGGCAATTTTCTTACAATTTACTGCGACGTGATTTACACTGGTTCTTAAATTTACCAGATTTGGCTGACATGCACGAGCCTTGATCTACCGACCGTAATGTAAAATCACTACTAAAAGTTCCGCTGAACACCGATAGCTCGAAGGTGTCTGTACCAAGCAGTTCGTGTATGGCGGCCTTTAGTATTACGAAAGCTTAATGCAAATTGACTCTATGAACTTTACATGCGATGTTTTGCAATAAAAAATATATAACTACTTGCTTGAAAAAGACTCTGCACTTCTTATTAGGGAAGTAAATGATAAAATAAATAATATTTCTGTTATTACAACATTTCAAACAAATTACTTTAAACTTGCTTAACCTTATTCTAATCAACGGTACACTTTCTTTCGCTTAAACGATCTATTGTTATCCAAAACGACTACCGTCCATTGAAGCGTTGTATTCAATAGCATCGCATGATCTTGCTTCAAAATTACTTCATTCAAAGGTTCGTTATTATAACAATTACGTATGTAAGACGCTTACATGTAACCTTAGATGACCCTATTCTTCACTAAAAATAAGACCCACTAACAACACACTTTCCTCTAGGGTCCGCACAGCGGGTACTCTTCCAGTCACAGCCGTCATATCTGAATTTACTCCCATCTTACCCATTGTCTACCACAAGACTGGCTTTAGAGTGCGCCCACTTTTGACTAAACTATCGCTTGACTTATTAGTCGCACTTTGATTCCTATAAGCTTACATAGACCGCACACTACTCAATATTTAGTTGTGCAACTAAACAGTTGAATTGGCTGCGAAACAATCGACAACCGCACAAGAGTTGTGCGATACAGTCAAAGGTGTGTGCCCCGTTCTTAATATAAATTTAAACCTGTGCTTAGCTATTTTATTAATTTAACAAAGGCTTTTGTTGCTTAGGCTAATGACAAAGCAGGTGTTAAGGGCTCGGTGCCAGTAAATTTCGATCTGGCAGCTAATATGATTCATTTCACGATGGATAGATTAAAGTTACAGATCATTTAGAAAGAACTCGTTTTCAGTCCGTATTCACTCGAATCAAAGCAATAACTCCGAGTCATAAATAACATCTAACAGCACAGTTAAATTGCTTCGTTTTACATTCAAATGCATACAAACGACTCTAGATTGAGTCATTTAGAAGCACCATTAACTTGAGCTTTGATTTCACTCAGCAACTGTTAACAGAATCTTTGTAATGGTTCTTAGGATAGTGATATGTGAAGAAACTTGAAGTAAACGTGTTTAATTGACGAGTAATTAAAATAATTGGGTACTGTTAAATTAATTTCGATGATATCAATGCAATTTCCTTTATAATTAGATTTTAAAATTACAGTACGATAGTCATTTGTTTTCGTAATTTTTATGACGTCACATGTACGTGGCCATTTCGATCTCCTTGGCAGTATGTAACCTTTTTAAATGCTGTCAAGAATAGTTGAATAAACACGATAAAAATACAGCTAGGTAAAAATGACTATTTTAATTTGTTTACTGATCCTTAAGAGTGCATTAGTTACGGTCAATGCGATTACTTTGTTTGCATGAATTTGAACTTATGAGTGGAAAGTTATTCAAACCAAAACATACAACCGGGGATGTGCCTCACTGACATGACAAACAAACGCTCTGTACGGACTAAAAGCGCACGCCTCACACATTTTCACCAAATAAATATTAATCTCAATGTTTTCTGATACTAAATACAATGCAATTAACTATATTATAACTATAGTTAGTAACACTGAAACTAGTAATACTTTTAGTATGAGTCAAGAGGTTAAACAGAACCAAGTACATTCAAACACATTACAGTTTACGAAAAAAGCTTTAACACCTTTTGCTAATTTCTCACAATT